CAGTATGCTTTGCCCCGACACGTGGCCTCGGACTGATACGGTACCTCGGTCGGTGTCCTACCTCGGAGCCGAGATGACCCTTCCCTCGGTGCCGAGGTGTACCATCCAGGACGGCTCCTCTACTCCAGGATAAGCTACTGACGTGCAGGTCATCAGCCTAGGCTATTCATCATAACCTCGTCTTACACAAGTAATGTCAGAACGTACTGGAATGCAGAGGTCACAACCAATAGGGGATGGACGCGTGGCATATGATATCACATCAGAGACAGACAAACCGCATGCCGTTGCTGACACGCGACTTGGGAAAGCAAACAATTAATTGCACCATTCCCTTGATGAGACCGCATTCAATGCGGTAAGGCTCGAAAATGAAAGGCAATAAATGCTCCTATTACAGAGCATTTATTGCATCCTCCCCGAGAGGAGCACATTGTACAGTCGGCATCCCGATGATCCAGCATTGATTGCTCGGGACCCCGAGCAGTTAATTAGAGAAGACATTCCTCATCAGAATCAATGCACACACTACCTGAGCCTAATGATCACCTACTGACGACACTGACAGTAATCATGAGCTTTTAAGGTATAAATACTCCTTGCAAAAGGCAAAGCGGGTATGCAACAACAAACTCTCTACTACAATACATTTTTCTCAGTGTTTTCTCCTTCCTCTCTCTCACTCAAAGACTGACTAGACCGTCGGAGGGGATACGCCGAAAAACACTCCGGCGCCCTTCTAACTTGTTCTTCTTTGTTCCAGGAACCCCTTTCAGCCTCACAGGATCGTTCTTCCTTTCCCAGGGTCTCCCGTTGCCGTTCCAGGTTACCACCGTACCTTGCAGGCTGTCCCAAGCAGCGTGTTTGGTCACTCCACCCGCTCACTCGAGTTCACCAGGAGAGAGATCTGTTCCCGTTTTTTATATTGTGCAGGATCTTGCTAGTGGGTAGTGGGTACCTGATCAGGTCGCTAGTGGGTACCTCCTCCTTTGAGTGCAAGGACTTATATGCGAGGGGGGGAAACGACTTTCAGTCGATGTGGGACGAAGCTCCTGCGGGCACTGAGGGGTAAAGGCTACTGGGGGGTCGCCCGCGTGGGTTAACTCAGGTCAAGCCGAAATCCTTCAAGTGGAAGGATGAGATCCGTAGCGATTTCTACCCCTTACAATATCTATGGTGAATAACAACCACCACCACTACAACAAGAATAAACCCTACGCGGGGAAACCAAAAGCCTAATAACAAAAAACAGTATTCAATAAAGTGGTCTGAACAGTACAAACACGATAATCTAACAATGAAGAAAAACAAGTTCCATCAGGCACAAAATGCTCGACCTAACCAAAAACAAACCCTTTCTTTAACACCGTAGAAGTTGGAGTGGAGTATTAATGAGTTAAGACGACAGAAGGCGGGATTTGCTTTTCAATTAGGGTTTAATTGTACAGAGGAGACAGGGAAGGAGTACCTGTTGTTGCCTAGCGACCTGTTCTCTGAGCTTTATGGCTTGTTTTCTGATTGCATCCATTGTATTTCCAGTTATTGGAGCTCGCGACCTGCTACAATGAGTGCAGGGAGAGAGAGAGAGATTTTCAAATGAATCGTTGGGTGTTCTCTTCTCTTTGGTTTTGAATCTGGCGAGTTTAGGACTTTCTAAATTTTTCGGATTAAACTGTCAACATACTGTCAGGGGCGCGTCTTTTTACATCCTAAACAAGATTAATAATTAAAGGGCAAATCATATTTTATACCCTCATATTATATTTTTAATATAACCCTTCTATTGACATTCGACGAAAAACAAACGGAAATAAAAAAAATGATTATATTGTAACACTTTTAATACATTGAGTGTATAATATAAAAATTTTAATTTTTAAAAATATAAAATAAAAAACTTAAAATCTTTTAAATTACAAAATTTGATTCCCACTAATTAAAAACTATCATTTTCTTTTTGAGAATATTATATTTACTTTTTCCTAATTTGCTTAATCACTCTCATATATTGTTAGTTAAGCTAAGACAATATCCAATTTTGACTCAAATTTGACTAAAAATTTGATTTGATATAAAAAATTTTAATAAATAAACTTAAATTTAAAAGAAAAGAAAATAAAATATAACTTTTGAAACTTTAAAAGAAGGTGAATCTGGGCAATAAAAATTTGAATTTCTCTTTATTTTAAAAAAAGGTGCAGTGTTCCTTCATTTGGTATAATTTAAGTAATTGTATTTTGTAACCCCATAGGATTTTAAATTTTTTACTTTATACCTTTAAAGATTAAAATTTTTACATTACACTTTGAATATATCAAAAGTGTTATAATGTGACCGTTTTATTATTTCTTTTATCAGTGTAAAGAGGTAAGTTTTTGACCAAAAAATAACAAAAATTATTAAAAATGTCACATCGTAATATTTTTGATACATCAAGTGTAATATAAAAAAATTTAATATTTAAAAATATAAAATAAAAATTTTAAATCTTTCGAGTTACAAAGTGGGAAAAGTCAAAAAAGAAAAAAAATTATGTGAGTGTACGGTATAAAAAAACACATTTAGAATGCGGGTAAGGTAATTCATCTTAAAGGGTCCTGTGCACATAATTACACAGGGGGAAGGAGACATATATACATATGAAAATGAAAAGAGACTAAGACAGATAAATTTAAAATGACCGCTGGTTGAGTGCACCTATATTTTTTTTAATATTTTTACATTTTTTTTTTGGCACAACATTTGTTTATATTTACAGTAAAAATGGATAGGTACAAATATATACTAAAATATGTAAAGATCAATTTGGTAAAATAGTAACCAAAAATAATTGAATTTTTTTAACAAAATTATAATTTGTTGAAAGCAACTTATTTTGTACGCTATATATATATGCTTTAGAATATACTGACTTAATACTCATTTCTTACATAATTATGGTTATTGAGGCTGATTTCTTGAGCAATGAGCCTGTTACATGATGGATTAACGTTGGAAGGCATGCACGTCGTTTGCTTGTGTCAGTGGCCTACATAATACTTTGATGTCCTCCACCTTTCATTTTGTGCATGAGAAGCCACTGTGACATTATACATATTTAGGTACAACGCTTGACATCCGTAGGGCATATTTGTTTTAAATATTATATAAGCTTGGTATTAAAAATATTTTTTTTATATTTTTAATATCAATGAATATTAGTACTGGTAATAAAAATTATTTCAATCTCCTCCCATATTTGTTTATTCAATAGGTATAGTGGATTTCACAAACGACCATCTATTCTATTACATCTTATATAACAAATATAATATTTTATCCTTAACATATTTTCATTCTTTAACATCATCCATTCCATTCAAAATAATTTTTTTTTAAAAGATTAAAAATAAACCGGTGACAATGTACGCTTAAACATAATATAAGAAAAAAAATTCAAAATAATTTTTGTTAAAAAAAATCGGTGACACCGTACACTTAAACATAATACAACAAAAAAATTTAAAAAAAATTTTAAAAAAAATTAAAAAAAAATTCGGTGACACCGTACTCTTAAACATAATAAAAAGAAAAATTCAAAATAAATTTTTTTTAAAAAAATTAAAAAAAAACCGTTAACACCATACGCTTAAACATAATATAATACAAGAAAAAAAATTCAAAATATTTAAAAAAATTTAATAAAAACGGTGACATCGTACACTTAAATATAATATAAGAAGAAAATTTAAAATAAATTTTTTATATGTGAACTTTTCTAGTAAGAAGACATTTGTGTCATTTTATTCTATTATACCGTTCTTTCATTTGTACCGAGAAGTTAATACCATCTGGTAGGTGGTATTCATTAATACCATGTAAAAGACATTAAAGACACTATTCAAATCGCGTCGGTATTACGACCCAAAAAGACATACTAACTGTAAAATAGAAAACAAACAAGGTATAAGATAAGTCTTACGTATTCTTTCTCTAATCCCTCCTTCTTAATACCACCCTTATCCCCAAAACAAACCAGCCCTAGTTGTCACGATGAATTAATTCTCTACTATNTTTTTTTATATTTTTAATATCAATGAATATTAGTACTGGTAATAAAAATTATTTCAATCTCCTCCCATATTTGTTTATTCAATAGGTATAGTGGATTTCACAAACGACCATCTATTCTATTACATCTTATATAACAAATATAATATTTTATCCTTAACATATTTTCATTCTTTAACATCATCCATTCCATTCAAAATAATTTTTTTTTAAAAGATTAAAAATAAACCGGTGACAATGTACGCTTAAACATAATATAAGAAAAAAAATTCAAAATAATTTTTGTTAAAAAAAATCGGTGACACCGTACACTTAAACATAATACAACAAAAAAATTTAAAAAAATTTTTTAAAAAAATTAAAAAAAAAAATCGGTGACACCGTACTCTTAAACATAATAAAAAGAAAAATTCAAAATAAATTTTTTTTAAAAAAATTAAAAAAAAACCGTTAACACCATACGCTTAAACATAATATAATACAAGAAAAAAAATTCAAAATATTTAAAAAAATTTAATAAAAACGGTGACATCGTACACTTAAATATAATATAAGAAGAAAATTTAAAATAAATTTTTTATATGTGAACTTTTCTAGTAAGAAGACATTTGTGTCATTTTATTCTATTATACCGTTCTTTCATTTGTACCGAGAAGTTAATACCATCTGGTAGGTGGTATTCATTAATACCATGTAAAAGACATTAAAGACACTATTCAAATCGCGTCGGTATTACGACCCAAAAAGACATACTAACTGTAAAATAGAAAACAAACAAGGTATAAGATAAGTCTTACGTATTCTTTCTCTAATCCCTCCTTCTTAATACCACCCTTATCCCCAAAACAAACCAGCCCTAGTTGTCACGATGAATTAATTCTCTACTATATATAAATAAAAAAAACTATATATTGCATCAGTTTAATCAATTTTAAAACAATAACACAATTGAATCCTCACATATAAAATACCACGGCATGACATGATTTATTATCAATCATATTACATTAGTATAGGCTAGTAGTTAATGTATCGGACATGAGATTGATTGGATATGTTAGGTCATATTCATTTTATATCTTTCTCTAACAACTTGAATTTTTAGAGTAAATAGTGATTGATATGATACTAATCAAAACCTAGAGATTTTGATACTAATTAGACTTAAAAATTAATCTTGATAATTTCAACGATTGATTTTACTATGAATTTTAATATTTATTGAAATCCACTAAATATTCAATGGTTGAGATTATTAAGNTGTTAAAAAAAATCGGTGACACCGTACACTTAAACATAATACAACAAAAAAATTTAAAAAAATTTTTTAAAAAAATTAAAAAAAAAAATCGGTGACACCGTACTCTTAAACATAATAAAAAGAAAAATTCAAAATAAATTTTTTTTAAAAAAATTAAAAAAAACCGTTAACACCATACGCTTAAACATAATATAATACAAGAAAAAAAATTCAAAATATTTAAAAAAATTTAATAAAAACGATGACATCGTACACTTAAATATAATATAAGAAGAAAATTTAAAATAAATTTTTTATATGTGAACTTTTCTCGTAAGAAGACATTTGTGTCATTTTATTCTATTATACCGTTCTTTCATTTGTACCAAGAAGTTAATACCATCTGGTAGGTGGTATTCATTAATACCATGTAGAAGACATTAAAGACACTATTCAAATCGCGTCGGTATTACGACCCGAAAAGAGATACTAACTGTAAAATAGAAAACAAACAAGGTATAAGATAAGTCTTACGTATTCTTTCTCTAATCCCTCCTTCTTAATACCACCTTTATCCCCAAAACAAACTAGCCCTAGTTGTCACGATGAATTAATTCTCTACTATATATAAATAAAAAAAACTATATATTGCATCAGTTTAATCAATTTTAAAACAATAACACAATTGAATCCTCACATATAAAATACCACGGCATGACATGATTTATTATCAATCATATTACATTAGTATAGGCTAGTGGTTAATGTATCGAACATGAGATTGATTGGATATGTTAGGTCATATTCATTTTACATCTTTCTCTAACAACTTGAATTTTTAGAGTAAATAGTGATTGATATGATACTAATCAAAACCTAGAGATTTTGATACTAATTAGACTTAAAAATTAATCTTGATAATTTCAACGATTGATTTTACTATGAATTTTAATATTTATTGAAATCCACTAAATATTCAATGGTTGAGATTATTAAGTTTACATTTTAAGTTCATGTAGCTTTAAATCTCTTCCTTTGCTCCACAAAATACAAAAACATAATCACATGAATGGGCCAACTAAGATGGGTATCACACTTGAAAAAAATATTAAATAAATAATTATTTTAGACGTCTCTTTAATGGCTCAAGGATTCTAAAGATGATATGACTAAATTAACAAGGGAATCACAGAGAAATTGTATACTGCAAAGTGAACCCCAACCAAACGTGATCAAAAGTCAGCAATGAAACCCTTCCGTTGTCACTAAAAAAAAAGTCATTAAAGCAACGACAAGATAATTTAAGTAGTAATATAGAGAAGTTATAAATTTAAATATTTTGAATTTAAATTTTGATAGTTCATTAGGGTCAAAATACGATAAATTTGTATTTCTCATAAATACTCTAATTTTAACATGAATAATCTGTCTTTAAGAATTAGTAGAAAAAAAATTAGTGGCATAAATTGGCCCGACCCTTGAAATAAAAAAAATAAAAATAGACTTAAAAGCGAATCCTTTGTTNTTACGTATTCTTTCTCTAATCCCTCCTTCTTAATACCACCTTTATCCCCAAAACAAACTAGCCCTAGTTGTCACGATGAATTAATTCTCTACTATATATAAATAAAAAAAACTATATATTGCATCAGTTTAATCAATTTTAAAACAATAACACAATTGAATCCTCACATATAAAATACCACGGCATGACATGATTTATTATCAATCATATTACATTAGTATAGGCTAGTGGTTAATGTATCGAACATGAGATTGATTGGATATGTTAGGTCATATTCATTTTACATCTTTCTCTAACAACTTGAATTTTTAGAGTAAATAGTGATTGATATGATACTAATCAAAACCTAGAGATTCTGATACTAATTAGACTTAAAAATTAATCTTGATAATTTCAATGATTGATTTTACTATGAATTTTAATTTTTATTGAGATCCACTAAATATTCAATGGTTGAAATTATCATGNTAATTTCAACGATTGATTTTACTATGAATTTTAATATTTATTGAAATCCACTAAATATTCAATGGTTGAGATTATTAAGTTTACATTTTAAGTTCATGTAGCTTTAAATCTCTTCCTTTGCTCCACAAAATACAAAAACATAATCACATGAATGGGCCAACTAAGATGGGTATCACACTTGAAAAAAATATTAAATAAATAATTATTTTAGACGTCTCTTTAATGGCTCAAGGATTCTAAAGATGATATGACTAAATTAACAAGGGAATCACAGAGAAATTGTATACTGCAAAGTGAACCCCAACCAAACGTGATCAAAAGTCAGCAATGAAACCCTTCCGTTGTCACTAAAAAAAAGTCATTAAAGCAACGACAAGATAATTTAAATAGTAATATACAGAAATTATAAATTTAAATATTTTGAATTTAAATTTTGATAGTTCATTAGGGTCAAAATACGAGAAATTTGTATTTCTCATAAATACTCTAATTTTAACATGAATAATTTGTCTTTAAGAATTAGTAGAAAAAAAATTAGTGGCATAAATTGGCCCGACCCTTGAAATAAAAAAAATTAAAATAGACTTAAAAGCGAATCCTTTGATTCCATACGTCAGAGAATATGAATGGAGTCTGTGTTATTGTCAATAGCATGCAAAATTCAAAAAACAAAACAAACACACCACAATTCAATTTCAATCCAATGAAACCATTCAGCACACTGCTGACTTCAAAACTAAACCAACATAACAAAAGTTCAAAATCAAAAACACTTCCAGTAATGAGCTTCTTAGCTTCTGAAGCAAGAAAAGTTTGAACAATATGAGGGATTAGCAGAGAGAGCGAGAGAGATCAGTTGGAGCGCCGGCAGTGAGCTTTGCACATATGGGTACAGTCGTAGAAACAAGGTCCACCGCAGTGAAGAGGGCAATCCAGCCTCATGCCTACACACCTTCCTCTACCCATGCACTGTGCAAACTCCCCCAGTTTGTAGCCTTCATTGTTGAAAACCCTTTTCCTGTGTGCATGGTTTCTGTTGGTTCGGCCTCTTCCTCTTCCATTGTATTTTGTTTGTCTCCTACTCCTANTCACCTCCACCTCCATTGTATTTGTGCTTGTTGTTAACTACTACATCGTTGTAAGTTTTGTTTATTTTCTCAGCACCTATACCATCTTGTGGTGGAAGCTCACCAGGAGTTAAAGAAGTGGTATTAATGTGAGGATGAGCAGTACCATTTCTCACTTCAGCACCACCTTTCACCCAAACAAATGCCATGGCAAAGAATAAAAGAACCCACAAACAACTTCTTATTAATAATGTCTCCATCCTTCACTCAAATGTTGAGTGAAATGCATGTATTTATGGAAAACATGAATGGCTATGAACTACTGTCGACAGCAAGATTTTGCCCCCCACTTGCTCCACTGATCCCAAAGCTTAACCAACACAACAAAATTCTCAGAGAGAGAGAGAGAGAGAGGGTGCGGCCCTGTGGGTGATCTTGTGTTGCCTTAGGGTGCACTTTGTCCCCACCTACAGTTGAAGTGGGCTCACGCTTGCCAAATGCCATAAAGGGCACTGTGCTCTCATCAGACGGATGGATGCCACTGTTATTGCACGCGCGACCCAGAAATCCTGAGCTTGCTAGATTATTCTGGGCTAGGACCTTATTCAGAAGCCATGGTCCAAGCTAGTATCTAGTCCAATTATTATAATTGAATAGACCAAGTGTGGTCCTGGTTATCTACATAGTTCATACCCAAAGAATGACTCGTTTGTTGTAGTCTGTTGGTGCAGGGTTGGCTTGGATCTAAAGATAAATCAGGGTAATTTGGGTTCAACTCTTGCATGTAACTCTTGAATTTAACCAATATTTACGATTAAAATTTGATTGCATGTGTGATTACAAGTATTTAGAGTTTATTCTACAAGAATTGATCAAAATGTAACTTCCAATGTCACAAAAATAAAAAACTTTATTATGGCAAATTAGAGTTTGAATAGAATTGGTTGTTGCTCCCTGTAAATAGTTTATAGGTTAGGGAATGTTATGNAGAGAGAGAGAGAGAGAGGGTGCGGCCCTGTGGGTGATCTTGTGTTGCCTTAGGGTGCACTTTGTCCCCACCTACAGTTGAAGTGGGCTCACGCTTGCCAAATGCCATAAAGGGCACTGTGCTCTCATCAGACGGATGGATGCCACTGTTATTGCACGCGCGACCCAGAAATCCTGAGCTTGCTAGATTATTCTGGGCTAGGACCTTATTCAGAAGCCATGGTCCAAGCTAGTATCTAGTCCAATTATTATAATTGAATAGACCAAGTGTGGTCCTGGTTATCTACATAGTTCATACCCAAAGAATGACTCGTTTGTTGTAGTCTGTTGGTGCAGGGTTGGCTTGGATCTAAAGATGAATCAGGGTAATTTGGGTTCAACTCTTGCATGTAACTCTTGAATTTAACCAATATTTACGATTAAAATTTGATTGCATGTGTGATTACAAGTATTTAGAGTTTATTCTACAAGAATTGATCAAAATGTAACTTCCAATGTCACAAAAATAAAAAACTTTATTATGGCAAATTAGAGTTTGAATAGAATTGGTTGTTGCTCCCTGTAAATAGTTTATAGGTTAGGGAATGTTATGTCTCAGTTTGACCTTCAGTATTTGCGAAACAGGTTGGGCCACCTCCGATTAGGGCTTCTCATTCGGCCATGGTAGTAAATTACCCAGAAAATTACGACTCACAAAAGGCCACAAACAAAAACAATAAGGAGAAAAGAATTCCGTTGCCGGGACTTGAACCCGGGTCTCTCGGGTGAGAGCCGAGTATCCTAACCACCTAGACTACAACGGAATGATGGTGTAATGCCTTTGTAAACAGAATATAATGTTATAAAGAAAGAAATTCAACTTCCCCCCATTTTACTTTTCTCACGAAATTGGACCGCTTAAAACCAGCAAGCAAAAACCCATTGGGTGGTTTAGTGGCATTTAGTTACCTAGGGGTTTTAGATTCAACATTTCTCGTATTTTTTATAAAAGTCAATCACCGTTGTTCCTTAGGGAGCATGTTTTAAACTCATTCGGACTATAGTGACCAGCATCTGAACTCGAAAGAATAATCAAAGTAAGCCTAAACACTTTATACCAAAAAAAAAAAAAATTGTCTAGCAAGCAAATTTGCCAATCCCCTCGTTTGTTAATTATCTATCATAAAAATAAGTATGACTTGTTAAATAAGAGCATGACCCTTACTAATAAACGGTAAGTGACCTACCACCGTAAAAAATTGAAGAAAAATATATTTGAAAGCATCCAATTCACTTTTCTCTAATGTTAAATGATAAATGAAAATTTTAGGGCGAAATGAAACTGTTTTAAAAAAATGTCCCCAAAAGTCTCTTGTTAATCATATGAGAAAGAGTATAAAATCTATAATGATAAAACAAAGTCTTTTCTTTGAGTTGTTTAAGCTCTTAATTAGAAAAACACAACAACGATTGAGATCATTTAGATCTAACAATTTATATTATGATTTAATCTTTTAATTACGATAACTCGTTTATATTTTTATTTTTAATCTCTTAACTCATTAAAATGTTAATTTTAACCTTTTAATCACATTATTTCCCTTAAATTTTAATTTTTTTAACCACAATGACTAAACTCATACATTTAAAAAAACATGTTTTGCGCAGGAAAAGACAACGTTACAAAATCTTAATAAAAAAAAAGCACCAACAAATTTACGCACACAAACTTAATCATGAAGTACTACCCCATAAAAATGATTATTTTCTGGTAAGCCGGAATGATTGCGGTCCCCCAATCCAGCCATATCATTTGTCCCAACCAACTATTATTATAACAATGCCAACTAATTATGGTGGATGGTGACATATCTCGTTACTGCAATAATCATAGCCTGTCGGTCCCATACCGAAAATTTCAAATTATAACATTGGTATGTTTATTAAATTTATGATATATTTACTCNCCGGAATGATTGCGGTCCCCCAATCCAGCCATATCATTTGTCCCAACCAACTATTATTATAACAATGCCAACTAATTATGGTGGATGGTGACATATCTCGTTACTGCAATAATCATAGCCTGTCGGTCCCATAACCGAAAATTTCAAATTATAACATTGGTATGTTTATTAAATTTATGATATATTTACCCTGATTGGTAGACAAGATAAAACATATTTTTGAGTAGTTATTAAATCAATTGAGGATAAAATTACAACATTAATGAAAATTTTACAACAGTAGTGAATAAAATTACAAAATTTGTGGGAATATTTATCAAATTTGTGAGAATATTTATAACTTTAGTTGTATATTTATCAAATTTGTGAGAATTTTTACAACTTCAGTGATATGCTTATCAAATTTGTGAAAATCTTTACAACTTCAATGGATTCATTACTAGTCCATGATCGATCAAATATATGTTTGATCGATTATGAACTTTCAATCTCTCTCTCTCTACACCACAAATTTGGGGAGAATATTTATTAAATTTGTGGGCATATTTACAACTTCAATGATATGTTTATCAAATTTGTGAAAATTTTTACAACTTCAATGGATTCATTACTAGTCCATAATCGATCAAATATATGTTTGATCGATTATGAACTTTCAATCTCTCTCTCTACACCACAAATTTGGGGAGAATATTTATTAAATTTGTGGGAATATTTACAACTTCAGTGGTATGTTTATCAAATTTGTGAAAATTTTTACAACTTCAATGGATTCATTACTAGTCCATGATCGATCAAATATATGTTTGATCGATTATGGATTTTTTGTCTCTCTCTCTCTCTTGCTGTCATTAAGTCAATTGAGGGCAAAATTACAACATTAGTGAGAAGTTTACGACTACAGTTAACAAAATTACAACATTAGTGAAAATTTTACAACAGTAGTGAATAAAATTATCAAATTTGTGGGAATATTTACAACTTCAGTGATATATTTATCAAATTTGTGAGAATATTTACAGCTTCAATGGTATGTTTACCAAATTTGTGATAATCTTTACAACTTTAATGGATTCAGTATTGGTCCATGATCGATCAAATATATGTTTGACCGATCATGGACTTTCTGTCTCTCTCTCTACACCAAAAATTTGGTGAGAATATTTACTAAATTTGTGGAAACATTTACAATTTTAGTGGTATGTTTACCAAATTTGTGAAAATCTTTACAACATCAATAGATTAATTACTAGTCTATGATCGATTAAATATATGTTTGATTGATCATGGACTTTCTATCTCTCTCTCTTTATGATTGTTCTGTTATAACATTAATGAAAAATTTATAAGAATAGTGAAAAAATTACCACAACAGTGGTATAAATTACAAAATTAGTGAAAAATTTACAACAATAGTGGAAAAAATTTTATGAATGTTTATGATCTATCACAAGAATTTGATAGATCAAACAACAATTTGATCGATTTTTTAAAATTCAATTTTAAAATATGTTTAATAAAAATTTAATTTTAATTTTAAAAAAAAATTGGATCGATTTTTAAAAAAATTTAAAATTAATTTTTTATTAAACATATTTTTGATAGATCAATTAAACAAATAAATTTGATAACACATATCACTGAGATTGTAATTATTCCCATAAAAAATTCATTCAAATTATAAATATTCCCATAAAAGTGGTAAATAAAAGTGACAATTATTATTATTTTTTAGAATATATCAAAATTATTATTCGAAATATATCGAAACTATTATTATTTTTTATCTCCAAAATATTTACGATCTATCCTAAGATCTTGTGATCTATCGCAAGGTTGAAGTAGTCTCCCCCAAATTTTTTTGAAAAACAGTAAGTTTGTGATCGATCAATTTTCTCCATGAAGTTGTAAATATTTGAATCTATTGAAGTTGTAAAGATTTCTACAAATTTTGTAAACATACCATTGAAGTTGTAATTATTCTCAATATTCTACATCGGCAACAATTTGATCGATCAATATAAATTTTTGATCGATCAAATTAACTTACTATATATTGATCTATCAAATTTATATCAATTATTATAAATTGATCGATCAAATCTCCCAATGAAGTTTTAAATATTCCCATAAAGAATCTATTGAAGTTATAAATATTCCTATAAAAGTGGTAACTGATCCACTGAAGTTATATATCTTCTTGGATTAGTTGTAAAATATTCATAAATTAAGCACACACAGGTGTGTATTGATCAAATCTCCCCACGATCGATCAAATCTCCCCATAAAGTTATAAATTTTTGAATCCATTGAAGTTGTAAAGATTTTCACAAATTTAGTAAACATACCACTAAAGTTGTTAATATTTTCACAAATTTTGTAATTTTATTCACTATTGTTGTAAAATTTTCATTAATGTTGTAATTTTGTTCATTATAGTCGTAAACTTCTCACTAATGTTATAATTTTATCCTCAATTGACTTAATGACGACTAAAAAATATGTCTTATCTTATCATTTTAATGTCTTTTATTGTCTACCAATCGGTGTAAATATACCATAAATTTAATAAATATATCATTAATGTTATAATTTAAAATGTTTAGTATAGTACCGAAAATACCCTTGAATATACCGTAGCCTTCTCCCCTCAATATCTGTTTTGGATGTTCCTTTTTTTTTAGGTTGGGGGTTTGGGGATGGGGGGTGGGTTCTGTCTTTTTTGGTTGTTAAGATCTCTATTTTCGTACATATACTTTTGGATGTAATCTTTTTTGGTTTTGTTGCTTGTATCATAAGCAGCAGACCCAGTTTGCGGCATGAATAATACTTAACCAATAGACTATACATTATTTTCCAGTACCATATGGAAATTACTATAAAATAAAAGTTAGGTACGGTAATCTAACCCAGCACTTAATATAATTGTCCAAAATGAAAGATGCAGATTACCACAAATGATGCTTCTTGGATTATTGCCATCTCATCCCCACAATTTGCAATAAAACAACTGGAAAATTATACAGCAGCAACATTTGATTCAGCTTCATTTTCAAGAAACAACAATGACAACGGCAACAAAAAACAATGAACAAATCTCTAGAGCAACCGAAGATTCAGGGTCAATACTAGAGAAGATTTATTGTACAGGGCCAAAAGATCCCACTTGACACATTCATGAGCTATACATTTCACACTGAACTATTAATCCATATGTGCAAGATCATGTAAAAACTTACATTCAGGCCAACTAAGGATCACTAGGGGAGGAGCTTTTAGAATGCAAACCAAACCACATGCACTTATCTTTCACTGCTTCAGCCTCGCATGCATACTCTTTGAATTTGTACTCTTCCCGCTTGAAGCTAGGAGGCACTTTTCCTTCACTGTAACATCGACTACACAGACTGAAGTTCAGCTTCATCTCCTTAAATCGGGAACCAATGATAGGGTAGCGGCAAATTGCACAAACATGGCTCCCATGACGATTTCTATCCCCTGTTTCAAGCTTCAGTAGGATAGACATGATGCCAAAACCTGAGTCTAAATCATCGAACATTATGAGGAACTCTGTCAAAGATAACATTGAGGTATCTGCCTCTCCATGGACTTCCAGCATTTCACTAACCCCATGAGAAGGTAAATAGATGGCTCTAAACAATTTCATGTACCCCAAAGCATCAGCTTTCCTAATCTGGGAACTACCACCTTCATTCACAGGCCGCCATAAGAGTGCATCAAATGCAACCCTCTTTCGCCTATCTGGTGGACCACCAAAAATAGGCGCAAGAACGGCAAAAAACATGCCCAAATCCAGTCTACCCGACTCTGACTCATCCAAAATAGAAAGGATTTTCTGATTTATAGCTTTAACAGCCCCTACAAAGGTTTCGGGTTTTAAGAAACTAAGTAACTTGTGAAGAATTCCCTCCAATGAAGCCTTCCGTATAGACTTCTCAGGAACACCGCTATCAGAATAGGACACCGGCACATCATTTTCATCCATCTCCTTCTTTAGAAAGTCAACATCACAACGATTCAACCTGGTGATCCTCTGAAAAGCCCTAATGTCAAGGGCAGTTGCTAATTCCTGCCTTATTGTAGTCCTTTCGCCCACTGTCTTGAACTTCAAGGATTCCACGATAATAAAAGCTTCCTCTCCATTACCACCCCCATTCCCCTTCAACCTCTTCTTCTGAAGCTGCTTCAAGTGTGATATGGCATCATGCAATTCAACCCTGTTAGTCATTCTCAAAGCTTCCTTCAAAGCTTTCTTAGCTTCCTCAGGTTCCCCAGCCCCTAACAAAGACACTGCCTTATTGAGTTGCGCTTGCCAATGGTTTGGGCAAACACCCAAAACCCTAGTATACATTTCAGAAGCTCTCTGATACCTACCCATATCCATATAAAGCCCACCTAAATTGTACAAAGCATCTACATGACAAGGCTTCAAATCAATTGCTTTCTGGAACTCCTTAATTGCATTATCATCATCACTCACAGCATGCAAAGCTGAAGCCAAATCACAATGCGCATCAGCATAATCATTTTTCATATAGATAGCTTCTTCTAAGGCCTTGACGGCTGCCCTATATTCACCCACCCCAAAAAGAGCACTGCCCAAAAGTTTCAAAGCCCTAAAATGAGTTGGACATAAAATTGCAGCCTCTCTATAATGTTCACAAGCACTAATAACCATACCTTCGCCTTCAAGCGCAATTCCCAAATTAACATGAATCTGGGGAAGCAAGTAAGCCCATCGATTCCCACCACCCTCCGCCGTCTCCAATGCCAACAAAAACTCTTCTTTTGCCTCCCTTTGCTTTCCAAGAACATATAAACAATTCCCGGCTCTAAAATGTGGCCTCAGATCACTAGGTTGTAATTCACACGCCCTCTTGAAACTCACCAAAGCCTCCTTAAACAAGAGATGCTCATACAAAACCCTACCAATCGCCATATGCCCATCAAAAGCTTCTTCTCTTGACCTTGCCCCATCAGCCCTTGACCTCAACACACCCAATTCTTTCACAAACACAGCATAGTCATGTCCAGACTCATCCCAAATCACCCCTTTATCCGAAATCTCCGCGGGTGGTCCTAATTCTCTAGACCACCCCGGCTCCGAATACATATCACTGGTGTCACCCTTAAACTTGCCATCTTTAACCTGCTTCGCCTTCAATGTCTTTATTAGAATCTCCAAATCATCAACCAGTTTCCACGTATCATCAAAAACAATCCCATGATTCGGCGAGGCCGCCCAAGCCGCAGTCCGCTGTGTGTTGTGGGGGTCAGTTACTCTTTCATCGGCAATTGACGACGAGGCCTCTTCAGAGGCCATAGTAATAGTATTGTTGTTATTGTCTTTGTTGAGCTCAAGGGCAAGTGCATCGAAGTCGCGGTCCACGTCCCCAGCACCGTCGTCGTAGGTACGCAGAAGGCCGTCGAAGGTGAGACCCTTCTCGCCGTCGATGAATTCGCCATAGGTTCGGAAGACTTCGTCGAGAATAGCATTGATTTGCTCGTCGCTGAACTTCACTCTAGGGTTTACGGCGACCACCAAAACAGCCATTTCTTGTCGGCTCAAACCACCATCTCCATTGGCGTCGAATTGCTGGAATATTCTCTTCACCTTCTCTGATCTGCCGCCCCTGGTCGCCATTTGCAAAACTAAAGGTTCTCAAATTTCTAGAGTTTCAAAATAGCAGAAGATAGAGAAATGTAAAATCGGAGTAAATGGACCTTCCGAAAAAAAAAATAGGAGTAAATGGTTTGGGTGAAGAAATTTAAACCCTGGAACAGGAAATTAAATGGCTTGAATTTGGGGGCAATCATTTCAATCTAGGGAAATTTGGTAAGTGAGTTGAGAATATCATTGTTTCACTGGATCTGGGGAAAAAAAGGAGAAAGAGCAAAGAAGGAGGAGGACTCTCTCTCTCTCCCTCCCTCTCTTTCTCTTTCTCTTCTTTTTCTTTTTTTCCCACTGGTTGTGATAATAGGGGTGGTGGGCCAGACGAAACCATGATCATGGGACTCTGTTATGTCTTTTGTTGTTTTTGAATATTGTATTTCAACTTAATTTCTTCGCATCAATATAATAAAATAGCTCATATTTTAAATTTTATCTTAATCATATTTTTTCCTTTAAAATCATCACCAATCACTTACCTCACTCATCATTCTTCTGTCAGACTCAAACATTAAATCGCATAACTCATTTTTATCACATGTTTAATCATTTATATATTTTTGTCCTTAAAAATATCACATCACTCATTTCTATCATATTTTTAATTATTTAATAATTAATTAATTTATAGTTAATATAATTTTTATTTCAAACATTATTCATATACAATAGTATACACATATTGAAAAAATTTAACATAGTGAAATCTATTTTTTGGACGCTCGAATTTGATATTTTATCGTGCCTTCAAGCACGAGTTATGACTAGTCATTTAATAATTTGAGAAAAATTATGGTATCATAGTGGTATGGTAGTAAAAATTATAAGTTTTTAAGGTTTAATTATAAATTTTTTGGGATACAATCAATCATGGAATATTGAAATCAATACAAAAAATTACTATAATTTTTAAAGATCAAGTTATAACTCATAAAAAAAATATAATTGTTTAAAAAAAAATCGTGATTAATTATAAATATCTGTGATCGCTCATAATTTTTCTTTGAGCAATCGTACCTTTTCTTTTAAAAGTATAATTTTACCATTAAAAGTTGAGATCAAAATAGCATTGCTATTTATTTTTTATTTTTTTGTTGGGTGTAATAACGTTAATGTGACTCTGTCTTTTGTTTTTAACTTTTTATTTGATGCATTTGCTGAACGTTGGGTATACTAATGGGACTCCCCAACAGTGTGTTTTGTTTTCTTTGATGGTGATATTTGATTGGGTAGATTACTCTTAAATGGGGCTCTTTATGTGTTGGATTATATTTTTTCCGTTCTTAAATATTTATCGTTTTTTATAATTTTTTTGTTCTATAATATCTATCGTTTAATGAAATCAAAGCATAATTAATATTTTTTTTTTCCAAATTTACCCTTAATTTTTCAATATATTATATTAGATGGAGGTTAAATNATATTTATCGTTTTTTATAATTTTTTTGTTCTATAATATCTATCGTTTAATGAAATTAAAGCATAATTAATATTTTTTTTTTCCAAAGTTACCCTTAATTTTTCAATATATTATATTAGATGGAGGTTAAATGTCTTTTATATTCCTTTCATTCTCAATACATATTGAATAAGAGTATTTTAGTTTTGTGTAATTATTTTTTACTCATATTAGAATTATTTAATAAATTTCTTAATTTCTGTATAAAAATTTTAAACAACANTACTCATATTAGAATTATTTAATAAATTTCTTAATTTCTGTATAAAAATTTTAAACGACATATATATATATATATATATTTAAGAACAAAAAGATTAGCTGGTTTTGAGAAAACTTTGGTTAACCAGCTGGCTGGTTTGATGGGCCTATTTGATTAGGTGTACTTAGTGGTGTCATTATGGAACTATCATATTTTTCAACCTCTTCACACGTGCTTAATTTATTAGTATTTTCCTATACATAATATCTCTCTCTCTCTCTCTCTCGTAAAGAGTATTTAAAACTCGAAAAGTTACGACGGGTTAAAAAATCAATTCAGGTTTAACCTAAATTGTAAAATTTTAAACCCTGACTTACCCCAATCAAACTTTCTACTCGACGCACTTAACTCAAGTATTGTTTAAGTTAATATTGGGATCAATTCGTGTTAATTCAAGTTAACTAATTCAGATTAATTTTGAATTTATTGTCGGACTTAATTTTGGACATAATACAATAACTTGAACAATTTAAATTCAATAAAAATCTAAAATACACACTTAAATTTTGTGTGTATATATAAATATCTTATGAAGCACGGATACGAATACGAGTATGATATGATACGAATATAGATATGACGATAGGACAAAATCTAAAAAAATAGGATACAAGTACAGTCAAGATACGACTATAGTAAAATATACTTAATATTTTTATTACTCTGAATCAACTTAATACTTATATGTTTTGATAATTCTTTAATACAATAAGGAAAATTAGTAATTTTTTTTAGTTTCAAAAAAATATATATTGTATTACTATAGTATATTCACAAAGCGAAGTGATTAATTAACGGAATTAAAGCTAATATTTATCGAGTCAAGTTTATTTAGAAGTAATTTTTGCTCAGATTATAGCGTAGTAGATTTATTTTATACTCTTTTAACATGTAATTGTAGATAATATTTAAAAAATACTCATGTTTCTTTGAAGTAGTATGAATTTTTTTAATGTATTGTATGATTGTGAATTTGAAATGAAATGTTAAAAATTCAACTCAAAAATTATATATATTGTTTAAATACTAAAATATCCGTGAAATATTTTAATATTTAATTATTATCAGATACGTATGAGGTGTATTCGATACGTATTTTTGAGTATCTGACGAGTATCGTATCTGATACGATCAACTTCAATGAAGTATCTATGCTCCATAGTAAATATTTATTTTTTTAATTTCAAATTAGGTTTGAACCGAAAGTCTCAACTCGAATTCAAATCTAAGTTAAATTTTTTTAACTCAAGTTCAATCCTAAGTTTTATAAATTCAAATCTGAACCTTCTTTTTTGGGCCAAATTCAGATTACCCCGTTCAAATTATAAAATATATGATGGTTTCAAAATCAAACTAAACTTTCATTCCTATTTTCTTTTTAATTTTTCAAATCTTTGTATTATACGACACTCATATTTTTAACCAATTTATTTCACAAAATTTCTTTCGTTTTCACTTTTTATTTTGTGTTGATTATATGCATTCTTTCTTATTTTTCACATTCTTTCCCCTTTTTGCCTCCTATTTTATCTCGTTTTTCTCTCTTTAGTTGTAATGGACAATTTTAAACGACTTAGGCGTGAGAAGTGAAGGGGCATGGCCAAAGGGTTAGGATTTAGGCCGGTGAATGGATGAGATTTTGATTGATCTAAATTTGAATTTGTTTTGCAATTTTCAATCCCAATTCTTCTATCTAAATACTAGGTATATCATATTTTCGTAATTCATGGTATATCGCTTGAGACTTCAAGCCTCGTGGTCACATGCTCAACGGTTAATTTGAAGTTTATTGCAAATCGTCCTATTTCATTTATACAAAATACTTATGAAAAACGAAATTCCAGTTCCAAATGTTGTGGTAAGAACGACCCTAATTGCTGCGTAATCTTATGACCACCATGGTCAAGTAGGCCAAGATAAAGAGGACCAAGGGATTGTTATGGTGGAGTTAATCCCAACACCACGACGGCTATTTTAAATCAAATTACTCTATCCTTTTGGGTAGGTGGAAACAGTATTAACAATAATGCTATTACTCTTGTTTAAGATAATTTCGAGATTTTTATCTATCGACTTTAGATGTTTTAATCACTGAACTTACTTATGCTTCTTTCAATCGAGCGCTCTCCACCATAAAACCATCAAGTTAGAACTTTGGTAAAAGAGTGAAAAGCCCCCAAAGTTTTTGTATTAGTTTAAAAAGTAAATTTATTTCCTTTTCTCTCTCTCTCTCTCTCTCTCTCTCTCTCTCTCTTTAAGCTTTGGATCTCTAACCCTTTATGCTCTTCAGGCGAGTTTGACGAGTTAATTAAATGCAATTTTTTTCTCTAAATAAAATTGTTGAATTTTCGGAAATAAATTTTCACAATAGTTGCTTTTATCTCTATCACTCATCTTGATTAAGTACTTTAACCCCTTGAAATTATACAAAGCGATACAAATGACTATGTCAATTAATTAGTCATTGTTCGTGTCTGAATGTACTATATAACAAATAAAAAAACTTAATTAATATTAATTATTCTTTTAAAATGATTCGAAATATATCATTGATCATATCCTCCAAATAAAACTATCAAAAAAATATATAAAAACTTTTTAAAATAACACTATATATACAAATGCCTCTGAAAAAAAGAAAACAAATATTAGCAAAACCCATTAAAATTTACAATATTTATATAAAATAAATAAAATCTTGCTTATTTATAAGACTCACAAATTTATCATCTCTACTACCACTCAATCCAATAACATAACATAATTATTAATGTTTTATTAAAAAACAAGGTAAAAATCATGAATATCCCATGAGTTTTGACAATATTACACGGATATTTCCTGATATTTTATAAATAACACCGAAATCTCCTAAGTTTTGAATTCATTTCATGGAGACTCCCTCTGTCTCCCTTTTGTCAATGTTACTAACGAAAATTGATAATTTTATTCTAAAATTTTTTATTATTTTTACAATTGTCCTTCTTCAAATTTACTACTAAAAAAATTTAAAAATTTAATAAAATCAAATAAAATTTGATTTAGTATCCAAACAATTGATATAATTTAGTACTCAAAAAAATTGATTAAATGAATATCAATATTAATTTGATAACAATAAAAATTAATTTAATATTGATTCGACAAAGTTGAATATAAATTGGATAAATGTCAATTTTTGATAAAATTATGTATTAATTTACAATTTCAAGTTCATTTCGTATTGAATATTATTTGGTGTGTTATAATCAATGTGATATTTTTAATTTATGTTAAGTGTTATTTATAAATTAAGAAGTAAATAAAAAAATACATGTTGTCAGATATGTAAAAATTTTGAATTAGTTTTATGGAATAAATAATTGAATAACATGTAGTTTTATCCGTTTTATGAAATAAATAATAACAAAAACAATATAGAGAAAACAAAAATAAAAGATAATATTATGAGAAAGAGAAAGAGTACAAAATAGATAGAGAAGGTTATATAAGGGATAAGAGTCTTAGAATTGTAAAAAAAATGAAAATCTAATTAGGACCATCAAATTAAAACGATCTAACCCACGAAAAGATAAAGACAAACAATGAAGTTACTTCATTATGAAAAATATTATTTATACATAATTTGAGGACCTAATCTAGAGACACAATGATGTACAACCATTGAATTGATTGTGGACTCCATTTAATATTAGAACTCACAACTAATCCAATTGTTGTATTAAAATCATATCATTAAGTCTCCAGATTAAATTCTCAAATTGGATCCCTATAACATAACAATATTACAAGGACCTTATTTAAATATGGATAATGTTATACGAACCTTATTTAAGAATCTAATGATATGAGTTCAATATAATTATTGAATTAATTGTAAATTTCAATGTTAGATAAAATTCATACCAATCTTATGATTGTACATTATTAAGTCTCTAGATAAAGTCAAAATAAGACTCAAATAACATTTCCTTTTATTATATAGATAATACAGCTATGTCGGNTATTTAAGAATCTAATGATATGAGTTCAATATAATTATTGAATTAATTGTAAATTTTAATGTTAGATAAAACCCATACCAATCTTATGATCGTACATTATTAAGTCTCTATATAAAGTCAAAATAAGACTCAAATAACATTTCCTTTTATTATATAGATAATACAGCTATGGTCGGAGAGAGAGAGAGAGAGAAATTAACAATACAGTTAAGGTCATAAACGTAAATTTGCACTCCTTAACCAATTAGATATTCCATTCTGTTCTAATTTCGGTTTAGTAGTTGCTGATGGCGGTTTATTTCAAAGTCCGTACACTGCCAATTCAATTCAGGAGGGAGGGACAACAGAGGAAAGAGAGAAAGTGAGAGAGATTGCNGAGAGAGAGAGAGAAATTAACAATACAGTTAAGGTCATAAACGTAAATTTGCACTCCTTAACCAATTAGATATTCCATTCTGTTCTAATTTCGGTTTAGTAGTTGCTGATGGCGGTTTATTTCAAAGTCCGTACACTGCCAACTCAATTCAGGAGGGAGGGACAACAGAGGAAAGAGAGAAAGTGAGAGAGATTGCTCTCTCTCTCTCTCTCTCTCCCTTCCCTCGCATTCTGTTCAAACCCCTTTGAAATCGTCGCAGTCCTCTCCGAACTTCTCTGTGGACTCTCAAACACTCCGGCTTTTTCGCCCTTTTTGCTTCAGCTCATTGTCTTTACAACCGTACATTTCAACACATCTCTCTCTNGTGAGAGAGATTGCTCTCTCTCTCTCTCTCTCTCCCTTCCCTCGCATTCTGTTCAAACCCCTTTGAAATCGTCGCAGTCCTCTCCGAACTTCTCTGTGGACTCTCAAACACTCCGGCTTTTTCGCCCTGTTTGCTTCAGCTCATTGTCTTTACAACCGTACATTTCAACACATCTCTCTCTCTCTCTCTCTATTTTTTTCCACTGGGTTGGCTCAAACCAGAAGTCTGTTTGAAAGATATCTGGTTTTCGTGTGGAGATCGAATCCGCATGAGGTGAGGGAATTGATTTGCTGAATTTTAAATTTCATGCAACCTTTAATTGTAGTTAGAACTTAAAGATTAGGAAGCAATGCATTGTGATAACTCAGAAAGATTTTCGATGTTGAAGCTGAAGGACTTGGAATTAGGGTTTGCTTTACAAGACAAACTTGAATTTGAGATTTATTATGTTGCCGATTTGCACGATTTGAATTGAATGTCAGAGCACGTTATTCTTGTTAGGTAGTAGAGTAGTCTGATTTATTATCGTCATCAATAGTATTAGGAGAAGTGCAATCAATGTGCTGCTCACTGTGAGTCATGGAAGAGAAAAGGTGTTTTTTTCCTGATAGCTTAATATAACAATTTGTTTTGTAAGTTTTATTGGGGTTTGGTATTTTACAGACAGATCTGAGAACTGCTTTAGAAGAGCAGAAAATTCATTTTGTAGCCGGAAATAACAAGCCAAAAACATTTGTCCGAGATTGAGTTCCAAAATTAGTGGCAAGGTTCCCTGAAAAAGGCTAACAACTTTAGAGCTAAAAGTCATCTCCCTTCTTCAATCTCCGGAACAAAATTTGAGAAAAACAAAGTGACAAAGTGTGATAAATTTTTTTGTGCAGATTACAGGAGGATCTTTAGGGCTTTGGGTCCATTTTTGGCATATAAAGATAATAAAGGGCTCTTAAGTTAGTTCCTCTCTTCTATAAGAGAGGAAGATTATGAAGATTTTTGCTTATAGGGTTTGTTAGCTGTTGGTTCTCTTCAAGTGATTTGATCTTGCAAGAAAGGAGGCGCTGGTTAGAGATGGGTTCATTTGGTGGGGAGGATTTAACACCATGGGATGCACAAGGATCGAGTGCACCTGAAGAGAAGATATTTGTTTCTGTGAGGTTGAGGCCTTTGAATGAGAGAGAGATTGGAAGGAATGATATGTCAGATTGGGAATGCATCAACAAAAATACCATCATATTCAAGAGTAGCCTACCGGAACGGGCAATGTTTCCGACTGCCTACACATTTGGTACGCAAATGCTTGGCCCTACTTTTTCCTTTAATAAGCACACTGCCGCCTATAGGCTGAATCAATTTATACAATCTTTTTGAGAAACTAAGAAGCAAGAGGCCAACCATGGTTTATACTCATATTTTTGCTTTCTATCTATTTCAAGATCTTAGGTCCTGATATTCCAATCATTCTTGGGTAACTGAGATTTAGGGATTTTGCTTCTTCTGAAAATTTTTCGCTCTTTTCAAATGTTCTTATGGTTTAATTCACATAGTTCTGGAATGTAGTGCATGTTGGTTGTGGAGTAAGTTGAAATTGACATAGATCAAAATCATTCAAGAAAATGAAAACCAGAAGAGGGTGTTCTCATGTTGGCTATCATGTCTTAAAGCATTTCAATTTTGGTTAATTGTGAAAAGTAAGATGGTGTTTACCTGTCATCTTTTCTTCGTACCATATCAACCCCAATCAGCTCACTAAGTTATCATGTTCTGATACATAAATATTGCTATATGTATTTGCTGTCTCTTCTTACCGTTGTCCATCTCCTTGACCTTTTTTTTTTCTGTTTTATTTGATCAATCTACTGGCAACAGACAGAGTGTTTGGGTATGATTGCTCCACAGAGCAGGTGTATCATGAGGGAGCCAAACAAGTTGCTCTTTCAGTAGTCAGCGGCATTAATTGTAAGTAATCTTTTAATCCTAGGTTTAAACTCTCTAGATATTAATTTTATCATGGGCCAACTAGAGCATTTTACACCTCTGAACTATGTCTCCAGCAAGTATTTTTGCATATGGGCAGACAAGCAGTGGAAAGACATACACCATGCGTGGAGTTACTGAATACTCAGTGGCTGACATATATGATTACATTCACAGGGTATGGAAACCATTTTCTATATTTTTATTCTTTTTTCCCCTTTGATAAATTTGTAAGGTCATTATGGCCTCTGGTGTTCTATCTAATTTGAACTATGATTTTTTTTTCTTTTGATATTTAGCATAATGATAGAGAGTTTGTGTTAAAATTCTCTGCCATGGAAATCTACAATGAATCTGTGAGAGACCTCCTCAGCTCAGATAGTACTCCACTTAGGCTTCTTGACGATCCTGAGGTGAATATTTTTGAAGTTCAAATGAAGTCCAAATGTGGGTAAAAACTTCAACAATTTTATTTTATTTCCTTAGAGAGGGACAGTTATTGAAAAACTCACAGAAGTATCTTTGAGGGACTGGGGCCATCTACANAGTTCAAATGAAGTCCAAATGTGGGTAAAAACTTCAACAATTTTATTTTATTTCCTCAGAGAGGGACAGTTATTGAAAAACTCACAGAAGTATCTTTGAGGGACTGGGGCCATCTACAGGAGCTCCTCTCTGTGTGTGAAGGTAAGAGTGCTATTATTACTCCTGTTTTTCTCAAATGACAGCATAATGCTGCAGCTGGTATTGCATTCATGCAGCTCAAAGACAAATAGGGGAGACCTCTCTGAATGAATTGAGCTCTAGATCTCATCAAATTCTCCGACTGGTATTCCAGCTATTCCCTATTCCTTCCTTGACGTACTTCAAACTAGTGTTCGATCTATTTGTTAGTCCGGTTAACCAAACCATTGACTCCTGAAGACAGTAGAAAGTTCATTTGGTTTCTCTTTCCTTATGTTGGTCTTGCAGACAGTTGAAAGTTCTGCTCATCAGTTTTTAGGCTCTGAAAATTCAAGCACTCTAGCAGCTACAGTGGTATGAAAGTGCTATATTCTTTTCAGGAGGGGGAAATATACAATTGTCCTCCCCAGGATCTTTTCCAATAATGTTTAACCATAATCAAGTATGGATGGATATAAATGAAGAAGGAAAAAATAAGTATGTTCTTTTTGTACAGAATTTTATTGATCTCGCGGGAAGTGAGCGTGCTTCTCAAACCTCATCAGCCAGCACAAGATTGAAAGAAGGTTGCCACATAAATCGCAGTTTACTAACCCTTGGAACTGTTATTCGCAAATTAAGGTGGGTTTTAAACTTATATTTCTTTGTTACTTTGAATGTTGACTATTACAATTTCATGAAGATTTGCAGCAATATTTCCTTTTTCTAGTGTATGCAACAAAATATGAACTCTAACGTACTCCATTGTGGCCTAATATACCACTATGGCTAGCCACCAGTTGGTCGCAAGAGATTTTAACTGACTGACATAACTCAGAACTGGTGGTATCATGTGTGTGTGTATAGACAGTCACATATGCATATCAAAAGAAAAATCAGAAGTGTAAACGTGCATATACAAAGACACACACATATGAAAAGAAAAACAGAATTTTGCTTTTTCTCTGAGTTTGACCTCTTTCCTGCAATCTAATCTTTAAACAAGGTTCATATCAATGGTTAATTATACTGTAAATTTTTTTTTCTGAACTCTCATTATACTGTAAATTGACTTTTCTCTTTGTTAACTGTATCACCAGTATTGTAGCTTTGAAGCTAAAGAAGTTGCAGCATTATCAAGGGTACTTCCCTGCACCGCATGGGAACAAAACATCTTCTACCAAAGAAAATTAATCTTCCATCATTTAGAGTTTATTTTTCTTGTTGAATGAGGTGAAACCATTTGCCATGTAAACCTGAAGCCCAGAATTTGCAGAAAATTGAGAAATTGAAATTTTTTGCATTTATATTTCACATGGAATGACTTGCCAAGTCAGATTCCCGGCTGATTCCAATCTTAAACAGATCTTACAGCTTTTCTCTTATTGAAACGAAGAACAGGAATCCTCTTTTACCCCACTTTTTGATTTTCTTTTTATATATTGACTAGCAATTGCACAATAAAAAATAAATAAAAGATTTGCTTGATTAACATCATGTGGTCCCAACCTGCAAAACTTGGACGATTAAAGAACAAATATTCTATTCCTAGAACTAGTTAGTATTATTCAAATACTAACCTGGCAAAACTTTCTTTCATTTGTTTTCTTGAAAACCTGATTTCCTCCTAATGTTATCCATTGCTTGTCCGGTATGGATGCAGCAAAGGAAGAAATGGACATATACCTTTTAGAGACTCCAAGCTGACACGCATACTACAGAATTCCTTGGGAGGCAATGCAAGAACAGCCATTATTTGCACAATGAGCCCTGCACACAGTCATGTTGAGCAATCAAGAAACACCCTTGTGTTTGCTAGTTGTGCCAAGGAGGTCAATACAAATGCACAGGTCAACGTGGTAATGTCAGAGAAAGCACTAGTAAAGGCGCTGCAAAGAGAATTGACTAGACTGGGAAGCGAGATGAGGAGTTTAGGGTCACTTTCTGCCACATCTGATTCTGCATCATTGTTAAAAGAGAAGGAACTTCTCATTGAAAAGGTGATAAAATAGATTTCTATGATCAGGATCTGACATCCACAAACAAAATTTTAAGCTAGAAGACTTGTTAGACGTGAAAGTGTCCGGTAAGAATATTGTGATAGTGATGGTCAATTTTTTCCCTACCAATTCTGGTCCCTAACACTGGACAGTGCCAGAGACATTTAATTTCAGACTATCTTAAGTTTGTATTGTAATCATTGTGTTAACATCACTCTCCCTTTGTTTTTCCTTTTTAATATACTATTCTGCAGATGGATAAAGAGATAAGAGAGCTAACTGAGCAACGTGATCTTGCTCTATCTCGTGTTGAGGATTTGTTACGATCGACAGGAGAACATCAGGTTTTAAGATCATTGGTAAGCATGAGTTGTCTTAACCTGAGGAACTTTTGATTAATTCATATGCAGTATGCTTGGTGAGTCTGACTCTTGTTCCATCCTCTTATTTTAGGTTGAACCCGATCACCTATCCCAACTTCATAATAAAGGCGCCTGGCCAGATGAATATCCAGCTTCAGACGTATCAGAGGTAGTTGATCCTCTTCGTTCAGATGCCGTATCTAGCACATCTCATTTTTCTGACAATGGACTTAATTCCAACAAGGGCGACCAGCAACTTCCTGATGATTCTGACGACCACTTTCTGTCTGATGACACCTCTCCACGACTGTTTATCGATAAGTATTTTGGGCCTGATCCATGTAAGGGTTGGGAGAAAATTGATGCAGATTCTGAAGATAACTGCAAGGAAGTGCAATGTATTGAAGTGCAATCGAACTTGAGAAACATAAATTCTGGGGAAATATCATCCCCTCGAAAGGGAGATAAGAATTTGGGTACTGTTCACACACGCCGTACTTATAATGCATTGAAGCAAAAAATTCTGGATTTGCAGGAAACCATTGATGGTCTAGTCGATTCTTACCCTTTAGAACAATCTCCTTGTTCCTCCGACACAGATACATCTGGCTCTAGGAGTGTCAAGATATCTAGGAGTACAAGTTGCACAGCAATTCTAAGGACCATGACATCACCTCCGCAGCATGAGAAAGCAGAACAAAATGAGAATACACCGCCAAATGGTTTTGAGAAAGACTTCCCTGGACGACCTGAAGGTCATCAACTAAAGCTCTCTGAATTCAAGCCTGCTGCCAAAAGTCAAAAGCCTTGTGGAGAAGATACCCCAATTTCTGTTAGGAGTGTTTCTGTGGATGAAAATGAGCAAAACATCAAGATGTCAGATGAACTTGATATTGCTACCCTCCACAATTGTGCCGAGGACCTCACTGAACAGGCCAAACCAAAGTCTGAGGAGCTGCATGATTATGATACGGTGAGGACAAATATTGTCACTTGGTGGTAAGCAGTTATAATTTTTTTCTTGCTAAATAAAGAAGGTTGTCAAGAATTCTTACTTGTCAGGAGAAGTCTGTGCTTCTTTTTTTGGGATATATAGCCTTCCCACACATATTAATATGTTTTTGTGTGAGTGATAATTTTGTGGAAATAGTCTCTTAGGCACGGGGGTTAAGGCTATGTACACTTGATCCTTCCCATACCATGTAGTGGTGGGAGCCCACTTGACCATGTTTTTAGAGCACAATGTTTTTCATTGCATACCAGCTAGCTTACGCAAGGGAAAGTTGTATGATGGAAATTTCATGGAATTAGTAGGATAAAAACATTTCTTCCGAAACGTTGGCTAGCCTAGCTTCTTAGGTGAATCTTGTACCAGAATCTAATTTCTCACTTACGCTGGTATTGTTATGTGTGGTAGGTCAAGGAGGTTGAATCAGAAACCAATGCCACTGGAAAATTTGTAAAAGATGATGATGGCTTAGACACAGTTGATAGTTCTCTGTCAAGTACTCCTAACTGGCTCTTAGAATTTGAGAGGCACAAAAGAGAGATAATTGAACTCTGGGATGCTTGCAACATATCATTGATTCACAGAACCTATTTTTTCCTTCTCATTAAGGGAGATCCATCAGATTCTGTATACATGGAGGTGGAGCTTAGACGGTTGTCCTTTCTCAAGAAAAATGGCCAGATTCTCACGCCACTCTCAAGGTATTTTCCTCTCTTTATGNCTAATAAATGAGTTCAAAAGAGTTTAGAAGTCCTTATAAAAGAGTCCAAAATAAGTAGAAAGTCAAATAGAAGTAAAAAATAAAAATTAAATAAAAATATATACGNCATATCATTGATTCACAGAACCTATTTTTTCCTTCTCATTAAGGGAGATCCATCAGATTCTGTATACATGGAGGTGGAGCTTAGACGGTTGTCCTTTCTCAAGAAAAATGGCCAGATTCTCACGCCACTCTCAAGGTATTTTCCTCTCTTTATGTCCTTTCCTCTCTCTCTGTCACTCACACACGCTCGCACACACACACACACACATATGGTAGTTTTTGACTGGGCTTGTGTGNTGTCCTTTCCTCTCTCTCTGTCACTCACACACGCTCGCACACACACACACACACATGGTAGTTTTTGACTGGGCTTGTGCGTGCACAGTATGAGAGTTCTCAACCGCGAGAGAGAGAAGCTGAGCAGGCAAATTCTAAAGAAGTTCTCAGCAAAGCAGAGAGAGGCCATTTATGAGAAGTGGGGCATCAGGTTGGACTCAAAGCAGAGGAGGCAACAATTGGCCCATCGACTATGGACAGATCCAAAAGACATGGACCACGTTAAGGAGAGTGCAGCCCTTGTTGCAAAACTGTCTGGGTTTGTAGAGCCTGAGCAGGCACCAAAGGAAATGTTTGGATTGAGCTTATCTCCTCGACCAGTAAACCTTAGGTCTCACAGCTGGAAACACAGCATGTCTTTTGGAATGTAAGCTTGTTGGAGGTAGAGAAATACATTGTTGAAACATAGTGTCTCGCCAAACTACTCACTTACCTACTGATATCAGCTCTGATGCTAATTGTAAAGCTACAAAAGAATGTAATCCGAAATTGTTCATGCCAATTTATGAAATTATTATTGCAATCTTCCTTTATGAGCATCAGGACCCCGTTTGTTAGACAAAGACACATTATCAACTACAACAAAGTGGTAGGAAAATTCATCCAACAAACTAAACAATATGATCCAAACATCCGTCTAAAAATGTACACCCAACCATGGGCATCGCTCATCAACCTCTCCTATGAAAAGCGAGCGCAATCACAGACCCCTTTCCAATGCAAAGTCTATATCTCAATTTTATTTAACTGTATAGATTGGGGCAGAATCCGCTAGAGCTGTTCCTTTTGTGTCAAGCCAAAGAGACCTGTTCAAAATTCCCAAACCAGAACCTACAAAATGCTGGTTATTGGAATATTGTCTGATGATCTTGCATCATTTGTTATGTAGCTTGATCAGATGGTGGCTTGTATGAATACAAGAGAGTCAATATAAGATGCAACCTCCAAATGGATGGTGAGAAGTTTGCTTTCTTGAAGAATTACTAAGTTTATGAAAACATACAGGAGTTCAATATCTTGTATAAGTAATAAAGTATTTTCTCCATTATACAAGTCCCATTGTCAAAATGGGGCCATACCTTCTAGAGTCACAGTATTCTTAGTATTTTACTAATACAAATTCCAATCTTCTGAATAAAGGCATCCAATGCTGCAAACTTGTCGAGGTGGTTTTATCTACATTTTAATTGTCCGGACATTTAATGAGTCTTGTCGAGCATTTAAGTGATGTGCACCAATAAATATAAATGATACCTCTCTCGATCAGTCCACTTCAGTAAGGGTCATGTCTTTGACTGAAATTNTGGACTTTTATTCTTTTTATAGCTCTAAGATTCCTATCTTTAATATAACTCTCTCTCTATCTCATATATCTTTTAAATGCACACACACACACACACACTCTCTCTCTCTTTCTCTATATATATATATCCTATCTCTTAGACGTTTTAAACACACTCTCCTAAACATGCACTCTCTCATCTCTCATATAAATCTATCTCTCTTTATCTCATTCATTCACTTTTGTGNTATATATATATATCCTATCTCTTAGACGTTTTAAACACTCTCTCCTAAACACACACTTTCTCATCTCTCATATAAATCTATCTCTCTCTATCTCATTCATTCACTTTTGTGAGTGAATGTTATGTGTATGCTTCTTTACTCAAAGTTTGCAGCTTTGACATGATTTTATTATTGTTAAATGTTATATGTTAAATGTGCTATTACTATTTTTGTTACTTCTTTATTCATACATTTGTATGATTTTATAGATGAGAAAATATCCAAATGTTAAAAAAAAAAAAAATTTCCAGGTTGTAGACATTTAAAATCAAGCTAATCACAAAAAATAAAAATAAAAAGTCAAGTTAATCACCAATAAAAAAATAACAAATGATACCAATTGCATTAAAAAAATAAAATAATTCAAAGTCAAGCTAATTATCAATAAAGAAATAACAATGACCAATAGAAAAAGAAGTGAAACCAATTGTACCAAAAAACAATATTCAAAACCAACTATAAATTTTTTCCCTAAGTTGTAGATATTCAAACCAATCTAATCACCAATAAAAAAAAATAACAAAACCAAATATTTGAGTAATTTTATAGAATGAGAAAATATTTGAATGCTAAAAAAATTTCCCAAGTTGTAGACATTCAAAGCAAACATTACCAAATGCACCAAAAAAACAAAAAAATTCAAAGCAAGTAATCACCAATAAAAAATAAAAAAACNAAATTTCCCAAGTTGTAGACATTCAAAGCAAACATTACCAAATGCACCAAAAAAACAAAAAAATTCAAAGCAAGTAATCACCAATAAAAAATAAAAAAACAAGTGAAACCAATTGCACCAAAAAAATAAAAAATTCAAAGTCAAGCTAATCACTAATAAAAAAATAATAAGTGATTGAGTCTATAATTATGTTGTGTTATTATGTTAAATGGTGATAATAGTGATAAATTCATACGTCTTATAAATGAGTTAGATTTTATTTATTACTTAAAAATTATAAATTTTATTAGGTTCTGTTACTATTTTTTTTCCAAGATATTTGTATATGTAATGTTGTTTTGTAGAGTTTTTTTACACATTTTTGTGATAGTTCTATTAATATGGAGGATATGGTCTATATGTCAATTTAAAAGAATTGGTATGAATAGTTTCGTTCATTTTCTTTTTCAAGTTGGATACTTAGTTGTGATTTTTTTATATGTTATATAATGTCTTTAGGCACGGGCAATGGCTAGTATGTATATAAACCTTCCTAACAGCTTGTTTGGTATGGGTGAAAATGGGGATAGATGGAAAATGATGAACGAAAAATAGGATGAAAAAGATAATTTTTTTCTGCTTAGTTAAGAAGAAAAAATGAATGGAAAGGAAAATAGGATGGAAAAAAAATTCTTCCTATAGTGATAAATTATTCAACAAGTTATCTCACTCACAAGGGGAAGCTTCGAGATCGCCCCATATATGGGAGAAAATGATAGAAAGTGGACCGACAAAGGTGTCAGCATTCGGGTTCACGACCTTTATTAGCGCCTATTGACATTTTAGTCCTTTGGGCTGTTTGTTTGGAGTATTAGATTTGGGTGGTATTAAAAATTATTTTTATTCTATTTTTATCTAATGGTATATAATATTCGGTCTTAAAATTTTTATTCATTCTTCCCCTTGTTTGTTTGTTCAATAAGTACTATAGTGAATNTTAGATTTGGGTGGTATTAAAAATTATTTTTATTCTATTTTTATCTAATGGTATATAATATTCGGTCTTAAAATTTTTATTCATTCTTCCCCTTGTTTGTTTGTTCAATAAGTACTATAGTGAATCCTACAAATAACTATCTATTCTATCACATCTTATATAACAAATATATCATTTTACCCTNTTTAGAGGTTCGAAAAGATTTTTGTGTGAATGTAATGTGCACAACTAATCATTCCTTGTTACCTGTCATGTTATTATTTCACCTTTTTTTGTCAACGTGTCGCTTAGTGATGGGAGCATCGATTTATGTCTCATCAAGAACCTTATAGGTTGGTTAATCCAGTATGAAAGGAAAAAATATGAGATCAAAGATATAGTGTGAAGATATCAATAAAACTTGTTTAAATAATTTGGCTGTATTTCTTCTTTTGTTTCTTGTGTTTGTTCATCTTCACTTTCAATATCACGACTATGTCTGTGTAGTTTACGCCTTGGCCGTTAGGTTAAGTAGTCGGCTCCGCCAGCATGCTAAAACGTTAATTACAACTGTGATACAACTATGCTTGATCTNAACGTTAATTACAACTGTGATACAACTATGCTTGATTTCTATTTACTTCATAATTATTCAAGCCAAAGCATCTCCAAACTGATATTAGGCCTTTTGGAGCTGACTTTTTTGGATGCAAAACAAATGTTTGAATAGTGGGAAAAAAAAAAGTGAGTTAAAAAAGATCTCGGAACCATTTGAAATGTTTTTAAAAAAAAATTGACTTTTTCTTAGAAATTCTTAAATAAGTCCAATTTTTCAACTTTCTATTGTGTTGATAAAAACTGTTTTTGCCTAAAAATCACCCAATAAGCCCGCATCCTAAAAGATCTAACTTTTTTTCCTCTAAAACAAAAAAATAAAAATAAAAATTGAAGTTTTAAACCAGCCTTATTGTGTTTTCCTCAAACTGGCTACATCGATGAAGCCAGAAGAATTCATGAAAATTGCTTTCTAGTAATGCAAAACAATTGACTTGTATGTTCTGTCCATGGCGGATTGCTCAAGGCATTTTTCATTTGGATACCCACCATAACAAGCAGATCAAGGTCTGCAGGCTGCTTTGAATGGTTCTTTTTCTCTATCACAATTCACGATTGAACTTCTGTTTTAACATGACATTTAATATGATACCGAAAAATATTNATCAAGGTCTGCAGGCTGCTTTGAATGGTTCTTTTTCTCTATCACAATTTACGATTGAACTTCTGTTTTAACATCACATTTAATATGATATCGAAAAATAATTTTTTAATTTCACACCTAAAAATCATTAAAATACAATTGTGTAAGACACGTATGAAACATGGAGTCAATTTTTAAGATTATTGTCAACTACCAATACATTAAGTAGATTGGGGTGATTAATATCTTGATATCTTAAGTCAAGTCTTCCAAAAGATATATAGTTCACGATAAATTATGCACATTCTAAATTTACGTGACAAGATGATGACTGGTTACAAGAAAAAAAATCATCACCACCAACTAATTAATTAAATTGTTTAGATTACATAATTTGAATGACTGATATCTTAATTTCAATTACTCATCGTTTACAACAAATTATTAACATTCTATGAAATACGCGGTGCATCTAGAAAATAACGGTGAAGGAAGTGTTGATCATGGATGTACAATAGTGGTAGGGGTTAATAAGTAGAGATCTAAGATTAAAAAAAACAAAGTAATGTGGGAGTAAAGAGTTTAGATGAGAAGTTATAGTTGGAAAGTTGAAAGAATTTGTATTTTATTTCGANAATGACTGATATCTTAATTTCAATTACTCATCGTTTACAACAAATTATTAACATTCCATGAAATACGCGGTGCATCTAGAAATTTATGTTTATATAACAACACGCTTCTAAGAAAATGTTAGTCATGGAAAAGAAAATAACGGTGAAGGAAGTGTTGATCATGGATGTACAATAGTGGTAGGGGTTAATAAGTAGAGATCTAAGATAAAAAAAAAAAAACAAAGTAATGTGGGAGTAAAGAGTTTAGATGAGAAGTTATAGTTGGAAAGTTGAATGAATTTGTATTTTATTTCAAAAAAGACTATTATCTTAAATTATTGTTAATTTATACTATTAGTGAACTATTAGTTACTGAGATTAGCAATTACCCTAATCACCACCACGCTCGTTGTTGTGTTGGGTTTTAATGCTTTATTTGATATGACAGAAAATTGGAAGGACGGAAAGTCGGAAATACGAAAAATTGAAGAAATAGATAAAACATTATGTTTGGTAAAAGAGGAAAATAAGAAAGATAGAAAAGTGGATGAATTAAATTTTCTTTTAACTCTCCAAAATTAATCCCTTTAAAATTAGNGCTCGTTGTTGTGTTGGGTTTTAATGCTTTATTTGATATGACAGAAAATTGGAAGGTCGGAAATACGAAAAATTAAAAAAATAGATAAAACATTATGTTTGGTAAAAGAGGAAAATAAGAAAGATAGAAAAGTGGATGGATTAAATTTTTTTTTAACTCTCCAAAATTAATCCCTTTAAAATTGGAAGAAAAAGTAGATGAAAGTTAATTATGTGTGTTAAAATATATATTATTTGTCTATATATCATTTAATATATACATACATCATATTTATCAATTACATATTATGTATACACTACTTTTATATATAAATATAATTGGTAATATATGTATTTATATTTTTTTAATAAAAAAATAATTTTTCCATCTTATCAAACATAAAAAATTCAATTCTTCATATTTTTCATTCCCATTACCAAACATAAAGGAGGGAAGAAATAATTTTTTTTCTTGAAAGATAAAAAATGTATCATTTTCATTTTTTTATTCACCCCACCAAACAGACTATAAGAACGCGAGTTCTAATTTCGCCATTTTTTTATCGTAACAAGTAAATATTAGGTATAACGATTACATTATGTCAATAGTATTGATGTGATATAATTATTTAATAAAAAAAATANTTATATATAAATATAATTGGTAATATATGTATTTATATTTTTTTAATAAAAAAATATTTTTTCCATCTTATCAAACATAAAAAATTCAATTCTTCATATTTTTCATCCCCATTACCAAGCATAAAGGAGGGAAGAAATAATTTTTTTTCTTGAAAGATAAAAAATGTATCATTTTCATTTTTTATTCTTCTATTTTTTTATTCACCCCACCAAACAGACTATAAGAACGCGAGTTCTAATTTTGCCATTTTTTTTCTCGTAACAAGTAAATATTAGGTATAACGATTATGTTATATCAATAGTATTGATGTGATATAATTATTTAATAAAAAAATTAAAAAAAAAACTACATCACCAACCAATCTAAAAGGGTGATCAATGCATGTGCTTAATACGTGACACTACCCCCAGACCCCAGTGATGAGAAACCACAATCCTCAATTAATGGTCCTAACAGCTTAAAAAGCCCCAAAAAAGTGCAAAAAGGCCAACTTCATCACTCTTTTAAAAAGAAAACCTTTTTGGGAAGAGGGAAAACCATAAACACACACACAGCACTCACNAAAAGCCCCAAAAAAGTGCAAAAAGGCCAACTTCATCACTCTTTTAAAAAGAAAACTTTTTTGGGAAGAGGGAAAACCATAAACACACACACACAGCACTCACTCACTCACTGTTGTGTCTGTCTGTCTGCGAGAAAACAACGCACACTATAACAAAATCTATATGGCTATGGGCCTCCTGTCTCTTCCCAGGCGATCTCTGCCACCATACGCTCCACCACTACACTCTCAAAACCTCACCAACCTCATAATCTAACACCCCAAGGTCCTTTGTTTTGATTCTTTTGAACCCACCACCCAACAATGTTAACGGCTATTTTTCTCTCCCTCACGGTGCTCCTACGCGCCACCACTATATTGACAGTGGCCCAACGGAGCGCCTATACGGCGGCGGAGACCCAGGCATTAATGTCGTTCAAGTCGAATCTGCAAGACCCACTTGGCGTATTGGACGGCTGGGATTTGTCGACACCCTTGGCACCGTGTGATTGGAGGGGTGTTTACTGTTACGACGGTCGTGTTCGTGAACTCCGCCTGCCTCGTTTCCAACTCGGTGGCCGACTCAGTGACCAACTCGCTAGCTTGCGCGAGTTGCGCAGGTTAAGCCTCCATTCTAACAACTTCAACGGCTCGATTCCAGGATCTCTCTCTCAATGCGCTCTCTTACGCGCCATTTATCTCCAGTACAACTCTTTTTCCGGCGAATTCCCGCCGGAGATGTTTAACCTCACTAACCTCCAAATCCTAAACATCGCTCATAACTTTCTCTCCGGCGAAATATCCGGCAACATCCCGATGGCCCTCCGGTACCTTGATCTTTCCTCCAATTCCTTTACCGGCAACATTCCGTCTAATTTCTCATCATCCTCCCAGCTTGAACTTATTAATTTATCGTTTAACCGGTTCACCGGCGGAATCCCGCTGAGTATCGGCGAGCTTCAGAAGCTCGAATATCTGTGGCTTGATTCTAACAAGTTGTACGGCACTCTATCATCCGCAATAGCGAACTGTACTTCGCTAATTCATCTGACTGCCGCAGATAATATGCTTGAAGGACTAATTCCGGCGACTATTGGTTTGCTTCCGAGGCTTCAAGTGATATCACTGTCACACAACCTACTCTCTGGTTTGGTCCCCACGTCACTAGTTTGTAATGTCTCAGTCAATGCTTCTTCAATAAGGATTGTTCAACTAGGGTTTAATGCGTTCACGGGCATTAATATCAAACCAACGAACATGGTGTGCTCCAGTGTTTTGGAGTTTTTAGACCTTCACGAGAATCACATAAACGACGTGTTTCCTTATTGGTTGATGAATGTGTCAACACTGAGTACTTTGGATGTTTCTGGAAATTTCTTCTCCGGTGTACTGCCTAATGAGACCGGTAATCTGTTGAGTTTAGAGGAGCTGAGGGTGGCCAATAATTCGCTAACCGGTGAAGTCCCGGATGGTATTAGAAAATGTAGCTTGTTAACAGTGCTTGATCTTGAAGGAAATCGATTTTCGGGTGTAATCCCAGAGTTTTTGGGGGAATTGAAGAAGTTGAAGGTAATGTCACTGGGTGAAAATCTTTTTACTGGTTCAATACCATCTAGTTTTGGAGGTCTTTACGAGCTTGAGGTGTTAAATTTGAGTAACAATAGCTTAACTGGTATATTACCACATGAGGTAACGAGGCTTAGCAACTTGAGTTCTTTAAATTTGAGCAATAATGAGTTTTCTGGTGAAGTTCCCAGCATTATTGGTGATTTGAAGGGATTAGTGGTTCTTAACATGAGTGGTTGTGGCTTTTCCGGGGGAGTTCCGGTGAGTATTGGAAGTATGTTAAGACTCACAACTCTTGATTTGAGTAAGCAAAATTTATCAGGAGAGTTGCCATTTGAGCTATTTGGGTTGCCTAGTTTAGAAGTTGTGGCCCTGGAAGAGAACATGTTATCTGGAGATCTTCCTGAGGGTTTTAGCAGCTTATCGAGTTTGCGATACCTAAATCTGTCATCTAATGACTTCTCTGGTGAGATTTTGCCAACATATGGCTTTCTTCAATCTCTAGTTGTTTTCTCACTATCTAGAAATCGTATCACTGGCTCAGTTCCAGGGGAGCTGGGCAATTGTTCCGATCTTGAGGTGCTTGAGCTTCGCGGAAATCTTTTGAGTGGCCAAATTCCAGATAATCTTTCACATTTGTATAATTTGAAGAAGCTTGATTTGGGTCACAATAGATTAACAGGTGGAATCCCAGAAAATATTTCCAATTGTTCGTCTCTGGCTTCACTCTTGTTGGATCATAATAATATCTCAGGCCAAATACCAGACTCATTGTCAAAATTGTCAATCCTAACAACGCTGGATCTCTCTTGGAACAATTTTAGTGGAGCTATTCCAGCTAGTCTCTCTCTCATTTCTGGCCTGAAGCACTTTAATTTATCCAACAATCACCTTGAGGGTGAGATTCCAGAGCCACTACGATCTCGGTTCAATGATCCTTCTGTTTATGCAATGAATGAAGGTTTATGTGGGAAGCCACTGAACAAAGATTGCAAAAAGGAAAGAAGGCGAAAGAGGAGGCAGCTGATTTTAGTAATAGGTGTGGCTGTGGCAGGAAGTTTAATTGGGGCATTATGTTGTTGCGGGTACATATACAGCCTCTTACGGTGGTGCAAGAGGCCGAGAGTTTTGGCTGCAAGAGAGAAGAAACGGAGCCCTGCTCGCACAAGCTCGGGAGCAGAAAGGGGTCGTGGAAGTGGAGAAAATGGAGGGCCAAAGCTTGTTATGTTTAACACCAAGATTACATATGCGGAGACCGTGGAAGCAACAAGACAATTTGATGAGGAAAATGTTCTAAGCAGGGGAAAGTATGGACTTGTATTCAAAGCCACTTATCCAGATGGAATGGTCCTTGCAATTCGTCGCCTTCCTGATACATCCATGGATGAAAATTCTTTCAAGAAAGAAGCTGATTCTCTAGGCAAGGTAAAACATAGAAACCTAACTGTTCTTCGTGGCTATTATGCAGGACCACCTGATATTCGACTTCTTGTTTATGACTACATGCCTAATGGAAACTTAGCTACTCTCCTTCAAGAGGCATCACACCAAGATGGGCATGTGCTGAATTGGCCAATGCGTCACCTAATTGCACTTGGAATCGCTCGTGGATTGGCATTCTTGCATTCTGTTTCAATGGTTCATGGTGACGTTAAGCCACAAAATGTGCTCTTTGATGCCGACTTTGAAGCTCACCTTTCTGATTTCGGATTTGATAAACTAACCATAGCAACACCAGCAGAAGCGTCCTCGTCTTCCACCCCAATTGGAACATTAGGCTACGTATCCCCTGAAGCCATATTAACCGGGCAAGTAACAGAAAAATCCGATGTGTACAGTTTTGGGATCGTATTGTTAGAGATATTAACAGGAAGGAAGCCAGTGATGTTCACAGAAGATGAAGACATTGTGAAGTGGGTGAAGAAACAGTTACAAAGAGGCCAAATTACAGAATTGCTAGAACCGGGCTTGCTTGAACTTGATCCTGAATCATCAGAATGGGAAGAGTTCTTGTTGGGAGTGAAAGTTGGACTTCTGTCCACAACCACTGACCCTCTTGAGAGGCCATCCATGACTGACGTCGTGTTCATGCTCGAACGCTGTCGGGTCGGCCCGGATCTCCCATCCTCAGCTGATCCCACAGCATTGCCTTCCCCTACGTGAAAATTCAGCTTCCAAAATTGAATCCCTTGTTAGAAGAATTCATGTATTCTTGTGTATTCTTTGCAAGTATTATTTTCAATTTTTTTTTTTTTTGAGTTTTCTCTTGATATGTTTGATATTTCTTCCTGTTTTTGATCACTCAGTTTTGTGAACGATGAAAGATTTTTCAACTTACTTTAAATGATAATAGAGATAAGTTAAAAGTCTAATAAGTTCGAATTTTGACAGTCTTTTGAGTTAGATCATAAAAGATTTATTCTCTATGAATATCTTAATTTTAACGCAAATAATTTATCTTTAATCGAACCAAACGTTGATACAAACACTTATTACTGTCTGTGAACCACAAACAAAAGAATAATGTTACACTGATTAAATTTGAAGTCCAAATGACACGAATTTGAAATTTTTATTGGTGTCTAAATGATATAACATCAATTAAAAAAATTTAAGTTAACTGTGATGTCATTTAAACTTCAAATTTAATTCTAAAATTTGATCACTCTAACGCTGCTGCAGACAANAAATGATAATAGAGATAAGTTAAAAGTCTAATAAGTTCGAATTTTGACAGTCTTTTTGAGTTAGGTCATAAAAGATTTATTCTCTACGAATATCTTAATTTTAACGCAAATAATTTATCTTTATTCGAACCGAACGTTGATACAAACACTTCTTACTGTCTGTGAACCACAAACAAAAGAATAATGTTACACTGATTAAATTTGAAGTCCAAATGACATGACAGTTGATTATTTGAAGTTTTTATTGGTGTTCAAATGATATAACATCAATTAAAAAAAATTAAGTCAACTGTGATGTCATTTAAACTTCAAATTTAATTCTAAAATTTGATCACTCTAACGCTGCTGCAGACCAAAAAGTGGAAGAACAGTGGGCAGGACCCAACCCTTAATTCCCGCCAATTTCATAAACATGAAATGACAGGTGGCTAATTATTTAATAATTATCCATAACCCTTTAACTACCTATAATTTTCCATTAATGGCTAATTATGCACTCTTTATTGCTTATTCTTTTTTTTTTTGGGGGGGTCTTTTCTCATTTACATATCTCTCACTATCTTCTTGTCCTTTTATTATCACATATCTATAATATGTGCCCAAAACCACAAATTATTGACTATACTGAAATTTATTTGTAATTCGTTGATTTTAATTTTAATGATTTATAATTATTGATTAAAAAAATAAAAAACTAATTAAAATAATAAAATGAAAAAAAAATCATGTTTCATATTTTTATTAAAAAAATAAAACATATAATATCAAAAAATTATTTTTCAATAGGATAGCTGGGAGGAAGACTACGGTGATCCTGTACAAAAACCTATAATATTTTAAGATAAAAATATATTTTTTTGGGTTATTATGTATAACTCCAAAGAATATAATTCATTTCATAATATTGTGATTGATCATAAAAATTATAATTTAAAAAAATTAAATTATAACTCATAAAAAAGAAATTATAATTAATTAAAATAATTTAGAGCAATCATAATATTTTATAAGTAATAATAAATTATATTAAATAATTAAAATTTTAGTTTTAAAAAATATAATTTAACTTTAAAAAATAATAGTAGCAAAATGTATCGGATTGCTATCGCCTGAGGCTGATGAAAAAGTAGCCGTTACGTGACCAGTGGAACCTGAACATATTTATTGGAAAAGGGTGGGGCGTCAGGATCCGTAAAATTTGTCGGGTTTGGATTTTAGATTCTGTGAGGGGCCCCGAACCCCACCCACGTCAGATTTTACGGAACCGACTGTTAACAAGTTAAGTGGGTCCCACGCAAGTCAAACTTTTTTTTTTTGGTACGAGGCAATTATAAGTTGCACGTAACACGGAAGGTAGTGGGTCCCAGTGGGACCAGTTAGAAATTTTTTTATTGAAGAAAAAACAGTGCATTGATGTAAGTCGTGACAGTTGTAAATAAGTGGACTGAGGCAGTGAGTGTCTGAAATGGCGTCTTGTGACCTGTGAATTGAGTCAAGAGCGTCTGAGTGACTGACTGACTCTATTGCAGTTCAGGTCAGTACCCAACACTGGTGAGGAGTCACTTCACTACCTCAACTGTACCAGCCTTCAATGCAGGTAAAAATACAGAATTAACTAGTGCAGGTTAAAAAATTGAGACGTTATCTAGAAGGGTTGAGTTTCTATGGTCATTGGTCAAGTTGCTTGAGTAACATTCGGAGATTTGGGATTTGGGAGACTCCCCCCTTTGGAAGAGCTTGTTGAAGGTTGAGGGGGTCAGTTCGAGTGGCCTTTATACTGGAGTTGTACTAGAAGATGCCGAGCTTCGATTACGCTAACAAGAAAGTTATGCTGCTTTGTTGGTCATTCAGATTTGGGCATTTGAGACAAGTTACCATGCCAAAAATAATTGAGAGAAGTAACCATTCAATGAGATCAAAATTACTACAATGATGTCCCAAAGTTTGGGATGATGGATCAATGCTAAAAATCTTAAATTAATCTCAATTATTTTGGATTAATTCCAAAACTCGATGTCGGTGAGTAGTAATTCAATTTGTCTCAATTGTCGCTTGACTCAATTCCATCATAACTTTATTACCCATGAACCTAAATTCAACATTAATATCATGGATTTGACTATGGTATCAATTTTTTTTTTTGGTACTATATCTCTTTTTATCACGTTTGTAATTACTTGTACTAACTATAACAACAGTGGTAAAATATTTATAGATGTAGTAAAAATACTCACAAATGTGATAAAATCACTCACAAAAATAGTAATTTTTTTTGTTCAAAAGAAAATGATAAAAATAATTATCACAAATATGATAAAAACACTCAGAATAATAATAAAAACATCCACAAAAGTGATAAATTATTTTACTATAAAATAACCCATAAAAATTATAAAAATACCTTTTAAAGTAATAAATTTTAGAGTTATGGTACTGAAAAGTNGAGTAGTAATTCAATTTGTCTCAATTGTCGCTTGACTCAATTCCATCATAACTTTATTACCCATGAACCTAAATTCAACATTAATACCGTAGATTTGACTACAGTATCAATTTTTTTTTTTAGTACTATATCTCTTTTTATCACGTTTGTAATTACTTGTACTAACTATAACAACAGTGGTAAAATATTTATAAATGTAGTAAAAATACTCACAAATGTGATAAAATCACTCACAAAAATAGTAATTTTTTTTGTTCAAAAGAAAATGATAAAAATAATTATCACAAATATGATAAAAACACTCAGAATAATAATAAAAACATCCACAAAAGTGATAAATTTTTTTACTATAAAATAACCCATAGAAATTATAAAAATACCTTTTAAAGTAATAAATTTTAGAGTTATGGTACTGAAAAGTTTTTGACTGTACCCATAATCAAGTCCTAATATCATTGGTACGAACATTATGGCCTTTCATGGAGATTGATTACACAAACTTCACCATGACGAATATCGTAGGCTTAAACAGTAACAAAGAACTGCAGCCAACTGAAAGAGCACGAACCCCAGAAAAACAAACTTAACTACTAGGCATATGGCTATGATACCGAAAAGTTTTGCCCAAAAAATATAAACTTAATTACTGGGATAAGGTTAGAGTATTGAAAAAAACTTTTTGGTACAAACCGAAAAATAATTTGTAACCATAGATCATTGGTTGACTATGAAAATAATAAAATAAAATGAAATAATGATACGAGAATATTATACACTGTTTTCAGTCCAACTACTATAAAGAAAATTTGAGCAAAACAACTTGAAGCAATCATACTATAATTGAGTAAGAGATGAAGGATTACTCAAGCTAACAAAATAATCACCTGGATTTCTATACAAAGTGATACACATCCACTAGTTAGAGGTACGACGATACACATAGATTAATGCTATGGATCACGTTTCAAAGAATGTTGCATTCATGTAAAATGAACCGCTCTTCCATGTGAGTGCAATGACTCATAATGGAAGAGTCATACATGCAAGCAAATATTACATCACAAGCTCTTTCCCTTAGGCAGAAGTCAAACCTTCAGGAAGAGAATAATTATCTGGGTCAGGTGAGAGAAACCTGCGGCAAGCGTATAATACGGCCGAATGGAAACCAGTAGGGTTGTCTATAAATACAAAGTGACCAGCCTGCAACCATATGATAGAAAGCGCCTATTAATTTAACAATTAATAATTCAGAATATCCGTCACAAAGAAAGAAAGAAAGGCGCAGCAATATCAATTTAATTCTCTCCCCATTTTGAGAGAGAGAGAGAGAGAGACCTGAGGGACCCTTATGATTTCACATGGGACCTTCATATGATTCCGAGCTTCTTGTGCCCCTTGGAAATCCATCCAATCCTGGAAACCGTATATAAAGGTGGTAGGCACTTTCCATTCCGATGCACTGCACTCAAGAGAGGAAAGGATTGCACAAAATTATTTCACTGCCAGCCAGCCTACCTAGGTGCCAAATGTAAGGATGTCTAGAATATGGTTTTCCAAAATACTTATTTAGTGTCATGTCATACAGTTCAAAATGTAGAGGACTCCATTCAGCAGTTATTTTCAGGCAATTCCATTAAAAAAGGTCTCTTTTTCTCGTCTTGACAAAACAAAAGCCTCTTGACCTCAAACAATCTTACAGTCACTATGACATATTAAGGCATCCAGTGATTCAGTATCACATATACATGTACATGCCAGTGATTTCCGGTGTTCTAATATGACGCAATCAGTTGAGCTTCACAACAAATACTTCCATAGCTCAGTAAAATTTCATGTACTACCAAGTGAAAATCCAATGTTATTTATTCCAAGTAAACCGGCCAACAATGCTTCCGTTCTCCCCACCCCCACCCAAAAAAAACCCTCAAACAAACAACTTTTACAGGATTAATCGGTAACTCAAATTCATGACTCCATTCATTACTTCAAATCTTGTCAAGATCACATGAGCTGGGTGAATGAATATTTTACAAGAGGCATGAAGATAAGTGCTATCAAATATCGAGGCCACAATCAAAATATTCGATCAAGGAGGAAGAGAACTTGATGATCTGGCAGGCCTGAACTGAGACAGAGAGAAAGAGATTTTCTTTTCTTTTTTTCTGGGAGCCGGGGATTGGGTGGGTCCCGTACAGTCAAATTTTTTAGATCCTAATCCTATTCATCACAATATGNAAGGAGGAAGAGAACTTGATGATCTGGCAGGCCTGAACTGAGACAGAGAGAAAGAGATTTTCTTTTCTTTTTTTCTGGGAGCCGGGGATTGGGTGGGTCCTGTACAGTCAAATTTTTTAGATCCTAATCCTATTCATCACAATATGGGAATGTAAATTGATAAAGTAAAGCTTGCTGATTTACTTTGACACCAAATGGGAAAACAAAAAGAAATTCAAAAGCTTCTGGCTGACAACGCTGTGAACCAAACACTAATACTGTTAGGACATAATTTGAGGATACAATGCATTGCGACCATTGGATTGATAGTGGAATGCATTCAATGCTGGGCCCAACTGATAATCTAATGACCACAATCATTATGCCCCCAAATTATGTCTTTAAAATATGTCTCAATAGCAGTGCTTGTGAACCAAATCATCTCCGAACCATAATTCTGCCTACCAGCGCAGCAGGGTAATTTTAATCTCCTCGGCCAGAGATCAGTATATTTTTGAAAACTTATGATTTAGAACAGCATGCAACTAATTTAAGACTGGTTGCCTTCATGAAATATCCACCAATAAAGCAAGAACCTAAATAATAGATTTAAGAGTAGGAACACATCTCTATAGCAACATTGCTTGTTTCTTTCATCAATCAAAGGGACAGCTCTAAAAGGAATGAAATCAACCCACCTGTGCAAGAGGGGTTTCCGAGCAAATGCTCCAAACGAAAATATATACTTCAAGCACAGCTCTCCACTAGCTTTGGCCGCCACAGTATGGTACACATAATCTTCGAACAAAGTGGCCATTAGTAGAGGTCATTTAGTCATATATGTCTAACACTAGAAAGTTAAACTCTATGTACCTGTCATTAATCTTGACTCCTCTTCAGTCAAAACGTCTCCAGTTGAACGTGTACCAAATCTAGCACTAGTATATCTCCGAACCAAATCCGGGCCCCAGGGACCTAAAGCTCTGCAATATTAAGTTGCCCAAGGGCACGAGATAAGTAAAGATGATTTGATAAGATGCAACCTGTCCGGGAGGTTGTACAAAAATCCTATCAATGGCAAGTAACAGCGTTAAGCATGCACAANAAGTTGCCCAAGGGCACGAGATAAGTAAAGATGATTTGATAAGATGCAACCTGTCCTGGAGGTTGTACAAAAATCCTATCAATGGCAAGTAACAGCGTTAAGCATGCACGAGAGGGGCTGATGCCAGATTCAAACTGGTGAAAAATGAGGACAAATCTAACATGCAATAAGGAAAAAGCCAGCAGCATAACCAAATATACATGGATGTAAGAAACACCATAAATGAATCCTACAAGTGTGGGATGCTTCTATGCAATGAGGATGAATCGTGTAAAAAAAGTGAAGGATAGAATATTCTAGTCATTGACATTGAAACATTCAATGGTTGCAAAAGCAACAAAGAGGACACGTAATTCTAGAAATGGCTACCTACTCAGCTATTAACTTGCACATGTCACTTTCCGGAATTAAAGAAAAACTATATTTTAAACCAGAACAAAACATTCAATAAAACTAGAACCTGCAAAACTATGGTGTTAACAAGGTAATAATTACAAAATTGTCCAGGGCCCAGATGTGCATGTGCAGATTTATGCAGGCATGTGCCAGGCAAATATTATGAGCACCAAAAAGTCTTACATTGGTGCACAGCATTGGGCCTACAGACTATGAGAAAACCAATGTGCAGATTAAACATACCAGCAATAATCCCGTGCCTTAATACACTCTACAATACTAAAAATCGAGCATTAATCATGCAATATTTTTATATTGCATAGCAATTTATTTTTTCTTTACAAAGAAAAAATGCGAAAAAGGTAAGTGTGGATTAATGGGACTATATAGNCAATATTTTTATATTGCATAGCAATTTATTTTTTCTTTACAAAGAAAAAATGCGAAAAAGGTAAGTGTGGATTAATGGGACTATATAGCATTGGAGAGTGTGTTGATTGAGTTTTCTGACAATGGGAGTCGTCCAATGAAGATATTGTTTTCTAACTAGAAAAATTAAAATAGATGAAAATTGGATCAATCTTGACCGTTATGGATAGAATGAACATATTTGAAATCATGAAAGAGGAGCCAAAAAAAACAATAACAAAACAAGACAACTCAATCACCTGATAATCTTTTGAGGAGTAAAATTAGACTCCCACAAATGATTTATAACAGCTCCTTTCCATGTTGCTCTGAATCGAGTGAGCCACTCAGATTTATGTTCCGTTTCTGATGTAAACCCAACAGGTCCCACCAGAATCAAGTGTTTTATATGCTCGGGATGCTACAACAACAATGACACAATTCACATCAATATTGGGAAAAGACAATCACCTTGAGACCATGATACTACCTCAAACTTCATTCATCAACCAGGTAAAGCAATCACCTTGAGAGCATATTTAGCTGCAATGTATCCTCCAAAAGAATGTCCTAGCAAAATGAATTTGCTAATGTTTTTGGCCTTACGCCATTCCTCGAAGGAATCAACAAACCATGCCTCAGTTTCTGCATTTCAAATCTTGGCACAATTAAAATATGCTATAAGAGAACTTTTATAGTTATTAAAAAGGTTGGCAGTTTTATTAAATCAACGCTTCCTTGCATAAAATAGAAGTTTACTTGCACATAAGACAATATCCATTACTTTTCCCAGCAACAGTAGGATGAACCATGATACCATTGGATGAGGCATAGTATTTTCACAGGCATACGTGCATGATTATCATTAGATAGAGTGACCATAGACAACAATCCATAGGTTTTGTGTCTTGAACTAATGGCTATTATAAGAAGTTGACAGAACATTATATGTTGGTGGGTCCACCAGCTGTGCTTCTAAGAGAGGAGAATAAATGGCTTAACAAATATCACAAGTCGGACCTACTACAATAAATTTATGGCAGGTAATGAGTGTTTTGGCAGGCTAGTCCATGTCTATTTCCCTGCATTGACGGCTGCACAGTACATGATAGTAAGTGACTCTAATTTTCTCTATATATATGAGTAAAGACCCAAGAAAGAGGGGCCCTGAAGGAAGAGCATCTCGGCTTTATACTTCACACACACACACTTATGTTATTATTCTAGTTTATACACTCACCTATTCAGGTATTGATCGCAGTATTGACTTAGGCATCGGAAGGGTCTCCCATGGCTCAACGCCATGGATCCCTCTAACCTCTTTTTGTCTTGCAGCTCATGGATCAGATGATATTCGAAGACTAGGGGCGCACTTCGACATATTTCAACGACCGATGGATTTTTACCCGTGCAGATGTTTACCAGAACTTCCAGATAAAACACAGCAATTTATTGGAACACTACCCAAAACTCTATATTTATTACTTTACATTTCTAGAAGAAATATGGCAAGAAAAAGTTATTAACAGTTTTCTTCTTTATACGCAATGGGGGAGTTGCAGGGTAAGGCTTGAGCTCCTCACTTTGACTTCACTTTAGCTAATAGATACACTGGCACATAGGGCCATGATAAAAATAAGAAGAGATCTACAACCTTCCAAAAATTAAATCCAAATATGAAAGAGTGTAAATAGCAGTGTTTTGAAAAGCATGCCTAGGCGCTCACCTAGGCTAGAAGCGAGGCGAGGCAAAGGTTTCTCGCCTGGAGGACTCCAGGCGAAGCGAACGTGGCTGAAGTGAGCAAAAAGCGAACAAAGCGAGCGCCTTAAGCTTTCCAGGGGTTTTTTTTTTTATTTTGAGTATGGGTCGTTGATTAGGCAATTGGAAAAAAAATTTTACGACATGGATACACCGAATTATTCCCTTACTCCATAAATACAACCCAAACCTAATTTTTTTTTCAGATTGTCTTTGCTGGAGCTCTGCTACACGATCGCTGGAGTTGGACTGGACCATCGCTGGAGTTGGAGTGCTGGACTGGACCGGACCATTGTCAAAGCTGGACTAGACTATCGCCAGAGCTGCTGAATCATCGCTGGACACAGATAAGTCTTTTCTTCTTTTCCTCTCTTCTATTTCTGTTTTTTTCTTCTTTCTTCTTCTCTCTGCTACTCCTTCCTCACCGATACTGATTTTCTCTTTTTTTTTTTTTTCTAATTCAAATAGTAAATCTCTTCTTCTTCTTCTCCTCTCTTATATTTCTGTTTTTTCTTCTTTCTTCTTCTCTCTGCTACTCCTTCCTCATCGATACTACTTTTCTCTTTTTTTTTTTTTCTGATTCGAATAGTAAATCTCTTCTTCTCCTCCTCTCTTCTATTTCTGTTTTTTTCTTCTTTCTTCTTCTCTCTGCTACTCCTTCCTCACAGATTCCTTTTTTTTTTTTTCTGATAAGTAATGCTCCGAACAAAACACATTCTTTTTTTTTTCTTATTGATATTGATGGAATTAAACGTTTAAAAGAATTATACAAACAGATGAAAACAATGAACTTTAATGCATTTGAGAAATTATTAGTATTTGTTTTAATTTAAATGTTTATGGTTTTATTTGCATTTAAATATTTAGTATATATAAAATTAGAACTTAGATTGTTTAGAAGTAATTAAACTAAAAAAATATATTTTTTTTAACTGTTCGCTTCGCTTCGTTTCGGTAAAACGTGTCACTTCGCTTCTCACCTAGACGTTAGGAGCCTTGACCGTTTCGGTTCGCGTTACGCCTTAAATAACACTGGTAAATAGTGTGATGCATGGTTGTATGTATTTTGAGGCAAAATATAAAAGAAAATGATAAGGCTCTCAAGATTAGTAAAATACCAGTTAATATAGTATAATAACCTTTCATCAGAGGGGAACACCATATTTCAATTTTCAACATTTACTAGTAGAGTTAATGATGCTCCCATCACATGTCAGTCATACTTCAAACAGCAGAAGAACAAGTAATTTATTGCAATCTTTGTGAAAGGTTTTGAATACATAAAAAGCATCAAATACTCTTCCTATTTTATCCAGAACTTCATTATCACAACATATTAAAAATATCTAAGGTCACACCTTAACTTTGTCCAAATGTGATATATCTGGGGCATTTATAAAATGCAGAAACCGAAGAACAAAGTAACAGTCATCAACTGACCTTCAGTACTTTTGCAATTGAAATCAGGTCTGCTTGATCCGCCCCAACTGCAGAAAAAGAGTTAAGCCGATAAGTTAACTCTACTCTGATGAATCTACGACTTAAAAACATAAACCTATCCATCATAAATTCCAAAAAAGTCAAACTAATGTGGTGCTGAAAGGACCCAAAGTAGTGTGAAAAGCTTCTCGGCATGTAGAAGGTTTTGAATGTAAATAGCAACCTCTTGGGCACTAATAGTTGCAAAAATAATTTCAACATTTTTTTTGATAGGAAACAAATTTCTATTAATAACAGAAATTGATGTAGTACAAAAATGAGAAAAAATCATTTGCCAACCTCAGAACCATTAGCACCAAACTATCTCTTAAAATAGAAATTAAAGTCAAGCAAGCCCACAAGAACAGTGCCTCTGCCACTACATAAAATTATAACAACATTTTGAACAGCTACCAATGCTAATTAGCACCAAAAAATAACTCAAGCCCTAGTAATCTACGTGCAACAATACAGTAATTAAAAAGCATGGAATCACATTTTGTCTTCTTTCCATTTTCTATCATTCCTCACATCATTATACATGTGGCTTGTTTGAACCCTACTTTTGATGAAAAAACAAAAGGGTATTTTATGACAATGAGAAAACACTTGTTACAATAAAGTTTCAATTCAGTAGATACCTATCGGTGACTCAAGAGTAAATATCCAGCAAGTTTGGTGAATACAAGTGCCACAATTAATAACCAGTCATGGTGACAATGCTGATGCATGGACAAGCATTAGTGTCTTGGTCCTAGTTCTATTGAGTTTAACCACACTAAGCATGTTCATTCCACATGATATGGCACTCCAATCAATTTATAGACCACTACGGTGGTAGTTGAACTCATAATTTCATTGGCAATAAGCAAGCAAACCTCATTAGACAATCTGTGCTTTGTAGGTTGCATAAGAGCAAATTGAAACAAAACACTATATCAAGTACGAGCACTGAAGCAAAGAAATAAATAATGTATCTGCTTAGTGCTTACAACCAAACAATACTACAAATAGGAAAACAAACCAGATCAATTAGATAGTCAAACTATGCAAAACAGGACTTTGAAAGCACTCACCCAAGCTGATCAATAGCAAGGACTTTGAAATATTTGGCAATAGCATCAAAGTTTCGGAAGAAAAAACCTTGTGAAGCACCATATCCATGGACCATCACAAGGGTTGGAGAACCATCTTTGCTGTCAAAAGTAACCGTGTTGATAAATCTGGGTTCATCGCTCACTGATCGAAACCACCTTACTTTGGACCCTGGCGGGCCAGAACCTATATTAACCTGTTCTTGAGTATATTGTGTCCTGGTAAATCCAGCCAACAGCACAACCAGCAAGAAACATAAAATTAGCATGCAGAAGTAAGCCAAAGACCTTACTAGTTAGAGGTATTGAAACAACATCTCCTCAACCACTTTATATTTCCTATATTAAACTGCTGAAGAGTATATTTTCTTTTGAATTGTGAAAAGAATTTTAAATGGAATAATCCATTAATGATCAACCAGAATGAGACAAAGCAAAAAAAATCAAGGATGGAAGAAAGAATTCTGCTGTAAATAAACCAAACCGAATTTCAGAATACTATTACATGGCAATTATTTTCCAGAAACAATTCAAGAAATTGAGTTACATTGCAAGTTCAAGTATAACAAATATCATCAGAGGTTAACTTGCCGGAGCATAGCAAATGAAAGCAAAAGAGTCGGAGAATAAAAATCATCAGATTGCTCCAAGAAAAACAGCATTTCCCTATATCAATTTCGACAGAGTTATCCATGATATATGTCAGTTTAGGTATCTGTATAGATTCACAATTTCGTATGACGGGGGATTGGAGATCTCGACAGTAAGAAACATGTGGATTCGACAGCAATTGTAATTGTCCCCCCAGTTTAGGAATTTGCCGACGAAATAGAATTCGGTAAATAAATAAAATTTTTGAGTACTCTTCTTCGCAAAGAATTCGAAAGATCAAACACGGAAAGCAGAGAGAGGAGATTACTTGATAGTAGAGAGAAGACGCTTCTCGGCGGCGATGATGTGATCGGTAGAAGTTGGGATCCAACGAAGAACGGAAGGCCACAACGATCTCTTCTTTATTGTCGTCGTCGCAGTGGATGAGCTAATTTCCTCGGCCATCCTAGCCAATAACTTCGCGTTCGACAACCTCGGGCGAAAGTTCATACGCCCCCCTTTTGATTTCTTTTTTGCGCTGAATGCTTTCACAGTCCACGCCGTCCACGACTCTGAATAGCCTCCCCTCCCTCACCTTATAGATGCCGCGGCATCATTTCTAAAGTGCGCCTCACGGCTCCACCGATCTTTTGACTCCCAGACTCTTCCCCTCTCCGTTCACGTCAGCGATGATGAGGGGTTGGGATTATTTATGTCGTGGATTCTTCCACGAAACACAGAATAATAATATGGTCTATGGAAAATATATATTCAGGTACGCTTGCCGTGACGTAGGTGGAGGTAGCCTAACGGTGAAAAAATAAAAAGAAAAGGAATCATTTGGAAATCAATAACCTCGCCCACAGTGTAGGAGGAGCAAATCTCGCAATATAATCTAATTGTTATTAATCTGACTATAACCCATATTTGATTTAACAATAATGACAGGTACACTAGCTGAGGTAATAATGATTTTAGTTATTAAATATTTAATGACTAATTATTTCTAGTGCCTCAAGATACAGAATAATAAAAATATTGTCAATAATTAACATATTTATATTTGCACCCAAAATCAAATTACAAAGATAGAAGACAAAGAAAATAATTTAAATACCGGTTATAATTGGGACGAACGATAGTAATGATGGTGGACAGCAATGTTGATGGTAATGAGAGACGGTGATGAGATGGTGGTGGTGGAGTAGTTGTAGGGTGGCAACAGCGGTGATGATAGTAGTGGTGGAACGATAAGAATGGTAGTAATGGTAATAGTGGTGGTGGCGTGATGATAGTGGTGATGGTCGTTGAAGATAAGGTGGGGGTGTCGTTTCAAATACTATTTTTTTTATAAAAAAAAATAGTTATAAAAAGTTATAAATTCTATAAGTATTTTTAAAAAATTACTCCAAACACACCCTTATGTCCTTAATTTTTTTATTAAATTTGGAGTGTTAATATTAACTGTCGGATTAGCTTTAAAGTAAAATTTAAAAAAATTTCAATCGCAAAAAATAAAAATTATTTTATTTATCTTTTAAAATTTGAATTGTATTATACTTTATTATATAAAAATTTTAATGAAACTTGTTAATCTAATAGTTTATAATGCATAAAATTGGTGAATACAACATTATTTTGGCATAATAAATTATATTTTTATTATGATCAATATTCAAATAGTAAAAAATGAGAAATTCAATTTGGTTCATTCCATAAGTTAAACTTTTATAAATTATATCAACATTTCATGTCAATTACATTCTATATATACATGTGTATTAAGACCATTTTTTAGATTTCATACTAATTTATCAAATTCATTATATTAGATTAGTCAACCTATTTACAAAATAACAACAGTTGGGCAGAAAGATTGCCCATGATTATTTGGACCAAGATCTTCACCTCCAAAGGAAAGGCAACCCTCGGTGTCTCTTTTGCTTCTTAATATCTGCACGGGATGATTCCTGCAATCGTGTGAGGCGGCGATCTCTCAACTGGGGTGTGTGCTTGGCTAATTTCCTCCGAAGCTTAAGTCAGTAAAAGATTGAAGGGTTTTGCTTAATAGACTTTTTCTGGTTTTAGTTTGCGTCCCTTTGTCCATTTTTCTGAGGAATATTTATACTTGAATTGACAATGATTGTCAAAGATCTTCAATCACATCTGGACATTTTCATATCTGACACACCATCCCTCGTGCAATGAGTGTTTCCTATTTACGTCTCCTCATATTGAATGCTAGGAAAATGGGGTAAAAGCTCGGCCATCCGCCGAGCAATTATGCCCCTCCCCGAATGACCAAATCCATCAAGTCGGCATCTGACACCAACCAAACATTGAATACTCGGCAGAACAGTTCCTCGGGAGATCTGATGCATCGTCTCGGTGCATCAACCATTAATGTTTAGTCATCATGACAGTAGGCTTAGACTCCCAGAGGGCAGTTGCTTGCAGGCGCATATTTATTTGCCCTGTCACTATCACTCATTCCGCTATAAATGTGAGGTCATATCGCATTAAATACGATGTCAGCTGTCGTACTTAGCCGCTCCATGTCACCATACCTTAGCATCCCTTGGTCATCCCAACGGCTTCATTGTTCCACGCGTCAATCGAAAGGCTGAAGAGCCGCACTGGAGTCCCGCCAGCTGCCCCCCAGCCACAATTCTTTTCGCAGCGCAAGACAAATGGTGTAAAGGGACTGGGGCTCCACCATCAATGGCGACGGTTACTTGCACGTCTGGTGTCACCCTTTTCAAATGCCCTAATGATGAGCCAACTTTTTGATTTTCGCTCCCTGCGAGGCAGTTTAAATAGGAGGTTTTCCTACCCTCTCAAAACTTTTGCATCCTTAATCTCTCCTCAGTAGTCAGACCCTAAGTGCTCTTCTGTCCTCTGAGTTTCCTTCGTCCTCCGAGCCCTCTTTGAAGACCACCCTTCTGTAAGTACTTTCACTCGAGCTTTTTCTCTCTTCATTTCCTCTGTATTTTCGTCCTCTTAGTGCTCACCAATGGCTAGAACTAGTAGAACCAGGGGGGAAACGTCGGTTAGGGCTAGTACTATCCACAAGATGAGGAGAACCCAAGTGACAGATGAGAATATCCAAGCCTTTAGGGTTAGGTACCACATCTGTGAGCCTGTCTTAGCTTTCCCCTTCAACTTCACTCACCATAGGAGGGATATGGGAACTGTGGACATGATGTCTTTATGGACGAAGGCCATCATGGAAGAAGGGTTGACCTTCCCCCTCCATCCCCTATTGCTAAGAGTCTTGATGCAATTGAAACTCTTTTTCCTCCAATGTGGAGTTAACTTTTTTAGGATTATGATAGGCGTAGTCGCCTTAAACACTCGGTTGGGGACTAACTTAGAGGTAGACGAAATTTTGTTCTGTTACGACCTAAGGCTCGTCGTCGGGGGGCAATATTACCTCAAGGCTCAAGATTCCTCAATGTACTTGGTAACCCACATGCCTGACTCGGACAACGGGTATGTGGACGATCTGATCATACTCGACGGCAATTGGGAGAAAAGGACCGGACCCGAGTATGACGGATTGTACTGCCCCAAAGTGCCGAGGGATGAAGGTGTTTTTGTTTCTGACTTCTTGATTTATCTATTCTTGGGTCCGAGGAACGTACTGATTTTTACTTTGCTTTTACAGAAGGATATCGCCGGGACGCTGCTCAACCGTTGAGGTTCCAAGTCCGATTTACTGATCTGCTAAGGGTCTGGTCCTCGAATCCGGCTGAATGAGCGGCAGATACCCTTCTCGGCTACACGCCGACGTACAGTCGATTCTCCCAGATCCCACCTCCTTTCAACCCTTCTGTTTGGGAAGATCACTCCTCGTCAGAAGAGGAAGAATTCGAGGGAGGTTCTGAAGAAAAGACTCAGCATCACGCTCCCAAGCCACTTCGCACCTGAAATGTTTAATCCGTCACCTATCACCGCAGCTACAATGGAGGCCACTGCCTCGGCAGGGAGAGCTAGGCTCGCCGGGCTGGCTGGGCCTTCCAACACTGCCCCCATCATCCCTCAGCCCAGTTTTCCTCGGAGGCAGCCGCCGCCGCCGCACATGCAACCCAGGGATTCGACCGTGCCGACCAGGCAAAGGCCCCAATCTCAACAAGTCCTCGCTCTGGGTGATCGACTGAGGGACAGGCATGCTCGAGACGCTGAACAATCAGAGGAGCGCCGTGTAAAGCAGCGGTATAATGCCCCGGCCTCGGGCCCGTTTGTCTCGGGCGAGTGGGTTGATCGGGCCGAGACCAGGAACAGCCGGCCTGTTCTGGAAACTGACTCCATCCTTCAATCCCCCGAAGTGGCCTTTGACGTCGCGGGGACGCTTTAATTTGACGTCGATATGGCCGTGTACAAAGGTTACTCGAACAATCGGCTCCTGATGAACACTATCCAAAACAACCTGGTGGTAAATCTACGCTTTCCCGAGTAGCCCTTGCCCCCTTTTGGTCATTCCCTAACATCCCTCCTTTTTCAGGCCAGCCAGCAGGTGGGAGTCATCATTGAACATTTTTGGGGATATAAGCAGGAGGCGAAAAACGCCAAGTGGGCCGTAGTTGCAAAGGACAACCACATCCTGAAGGTCAAGAGGACCCTCGGCGACCAAACAAAACACATCGCCGAGCTCATCCGCCAGCGAGACGCCATTCATGCCGAGCTGGAAAAGGCCAAGACGAGTGAAGCTGCAACAATAAAGAAGGCCGAGGAGTATGAGCTGCGAGTGTCCTCCTACGAAGCCAAGCTACAAGAGTTCGAGTCTGTAATCAGCGCTCTCACTGCCAAAGTGGACTCCTTGACAGCAGAAAAGGCTATAATCGGAGTGTTAGAGGGTGTGAGCAGCTACTCAAGACCAAATGGTCCCCACATTCGAGGAAGCCAAGAAAAAGGCTTTCAAAGAAGGTTGGGACGCCGCCCTTCATGCCTACCACGTCGAGGTAGGCTCAGACTTGTTCGTCATGCACAGTCTCCGAGGTGAGGCAGATGAAGCCTTGGATGAACGGGTCTGATCCGGCCTCGGCGATCATGCTGAGGCAGAAGGGCTGGTCAGGGCCAAAGGTGGAAGCGAACCTATCACACTCAGCGACGGATCTGACCAGCCTTTTCCTACTCTTTCGTCGTTGCCACCTGCCTAGCCAACATACGATATGCCCTTTCCGCCCCCCACCATTATTGAAATGCATGATACCGAGCTAGATGATATATTGGGGACTGGAGACAAGCTATAAAGGCGGCGTGGAGGCCTCGACGGGGAAAGAGCAGGGGAAGAATGAGCTGAGGGCCTCAGCAGCTGGTGGCCTCACTTCTATGTCCCATATTTTTGCAGCTGCTTGTAGCTCTATATTAAATTTTGCTACTGTTTGTATGCTTGGGGACGCAAAGCCCCTTTTTTATAATGAACTTTAGTTTTCTACAAGTGTCTATTTTACTGCGTCAATTGTATTGAGTCTTACCCCCCTCGGGGCCGTACCCATAACGACCGAGCGCTTGACTCGTGTTTGTATTTTGAGAGCGTTGCTCCAAGAGTGGAGTCTTACACCCTCAGGGCCGTACCCCTAACGATCGAGCACTTGACTCGTATTAGTATTTTGAGAGCGTTGCTCCAAGAGTGGAGTCTTACACCCCTCGGAGCTGTACCCCTAATGACCGAGCGCTTGGCTCGTTTGTATTTTGAGAGCGTTGCTCCAAGGGTGGAGTCTTACACCCCTCGGAGTCGTACCCCTAACGACCGAGCGTTTGACTCGTGTTTGTATTTTAAGAGCGTTGCTCCAAGGGTGAAGTCTTACACCCCTCGGAGTCGTACCCCTAACCACCAGGCGCTTGACTCGTGTTAGTATTTTGAGTTGCTCCAAGGGTGGAGTCTTACACCCCTCGGGACTGTACCTCTAACGACCGAGCGCTTGGCTCGTGTTAGTATTTTGAGAGCGTTGCTCCAAGGGTGGAGTCTTACACCCCTCCGGACCGTACCCCTAACGACAGAGCGTCTGACTCGTGTTTATATTT